TATAATTGGATTTCACTATTTTAAATTTTAGATACTATCTGCAAGCAGTAGATGAGTGTACAATTATTCTCCTTGCTTGTAATCTTTCCACTCCCAAATTCCACTCCCAAAATGCATCCATCCTGTTTGCAGGTTAAAGACTAACCATGCCAGGACTCCAAAATCTTTTAGCTTCTTTCTGTCATGGAAGTTTTGATATCTTTCTGTTCTGCTGAAAAGCAGAGGTATTTCACTTCTCTGGGAGTAGCAGCAGAGGTGGGGGCTGGCAAGGAGGGGGGAGGGAGGCTAGAAAGGAAGATCACAGAGAAGTGAAATTCCCTCCATCCTCCCCACTCCCAAGTTGGAGCTTATTTGGAATCAGTAATTTCTCTTACACTTGCAGCGTTTGGCAGCTTTTATATGCCAGAGAACATTTCCTGGGCATTGGAGGAACAGGTAGCAAGAAGATCCATAGTAGCTGACTGCCTGGAATTGGTGGAGCAGGAAAACGGGTCACTTAACAGGCACTTGAGCAATTCAAGCCACATCAGCTTTAGTTTTGTCATATAAATGGTATGCTTTGCAAGACTGTGTAGTACTTTTACTTTTCTCTCTTATTTCTAGAGGATTATTATATTTTAATTTTACAGATTTTTGAAGTTTAAAACCAGACCACCCTTCAGATATGTATGCTTTTCTGAATATGTTTCCCGGATGAAGAAAAAAATGTGACCAAATATAACAAGGGATCTAGTATTTTAAAAATTGCTGTACTCTGAGAACTACTTTATTAATGATAGATTGATTAAATGGAAATAATGCTTAGCTAATAATGTTATACTTAAACCTTACTAAGCTTTAAGTTTGTTCCAAGGACTTTCCTTATCTTATAGCAACATATTCATGATAGTTTTTTATGTGCACACAGAGAAGACACCTTTTGGCACAGATATATGGCCAACAAGATGTAGAGGCAGATTTTCTGCTTAATCAAACCAAAATAATTTTCTAATTCGGTGTTAGGATCTGGCCTGTGGCATGAATGAGAAAATAGTATTGCTAAATGTCACAATATTGATTACAATTATTACCTTTAAGAAAGGGTCATTAAGATGTCTAGGGCTCTGTGAACTCAGTGGCATGAACGGTTCTTGATGAGATCAGTGATAAAGATGTCAAGACAGCAAGAGCTATGAGATTATGTAGTATGCTTACAGGGCACCGACAAATGGATTTTGAAGTAGTCTGGTAGTAACCATTGCAGGGGGCTAGCAGTTACTTTTTGGGTAGAATACAGTTTGGAAGAAAGAATATTATTATTAATTTCTTTCATGTTGCACATGTAAAGAGAAGATTGGCATCCAGTTTTGAGGAAAATTCAGTAAACTTGAAAGACATGCTTTTCGTACATTCGTAGTGTTGCAGGAAAAGAAACTATTTTAGGAAAACGGGGAGAGTTAGAGGTTTCTGACATGCAGGAAACTACTGTGTTTATGATGGTGTGTTTATGTTTGAGTTAAGCTCAATTTAAAACTTTGAAGTTGTTGGAATTAAATATTCTTAAATAAGCATGGGAAAGAAAAATGGCAATTATTACATTTAAAGAATTAGGAATACATCCTAGGAGTTCTGTGGTACTTTTAAGATAACCTCAGTCTCACTGGCACTAAACCTCTAAGGCACGTAGCTAGGACTTTATGCCAACCTTGGCAATTTTCAGTCATACAGATTGTACTTTCTGCAGCACAAGCCACCTTCAAAACTGAATGAGAACAGTCAAATAACTGAAGAACAATTTTAAAATACAGTTTTAATGAAGTATCAAGTCTGACAGTAGACAAGGGTTTCTTTCATGCTGCCCTCCTGTTTAATCCCATACAAAACGAGGCTATGCTAATGATGCTGCAGACACATGCCAGGGCTCTTGTACGGCTGCAGTGTGGTGGTTCCAGTGGGATGCTGTGGAGGAGCCCAGCGGTGTCAGACCAGCGGCGTGGGCAGAGGAGGACGCAGCAGAGGGTAGTGCTGGAAATGGGAGTAGATCTGCTCGTAGCTCCTGTGTAGGTGCAACCCCGAGAGCCTCATCTGGTTCTGCTAGCTAAGCTAAGTAACTTCGGAGTATGTTGTTCAGAGTCTCCCTCTTGGTGACTACTAACAAACAGACAATCCCAACAGTCTTGCAGATAGTAAAGTGATATCTGTAGTTTCAGTGTGATGTTTGTACTGACAGTTGGTAGAAGCAGCTTAATAAACTGCGCAAGCAATTGACGTGCACTGAAAACTTCAGTTTTACTCTCTGAATCTTAAAAGCATTAGATGTTTCTTCCAATTTAATATCTGCATAATGGATATGGATGGCAGGATATGCTGCTGCCAGGCAGCTCTCAGCAGCCTCTAACAGGCAAGCGTAGACTTCCAGAGCAACAGCGTTTTTCCACTCACGTTATCCATCTTGTGCCAAATATGCTGAGCCTCAGTTTTTGCACAAGGCACTAATAAAAGTTGTGCTTTGGCCCTGTTTTTCCCCAGCTCCGCACGCCGTGGTTCGGGTCCGGGGGTGGAACAGGCAGCATGTGAATGCGATGTGACTCACCTCACTCCTGCTCCCCTGCTCCCGTCCTCTCTGTCTCTTGCTCTGCCGTAGCGCTAGGGCAGAGGAGCCCTCTGGTCTCTCTCTCTCTCTCCTCTCCCTTTTCAAAATATTTTTTTTTAAATCCTTTCCCTAATGTTCCTCCCTTTGTAAAGAACAAGATGGAAACGAATTTTCGGGCCATTGCTGCTGATTTCCTCCAGTTAGGGAATCAGTAGAAGAGCACCATTATCACTGAATTTCATAAAGGCAGCTGTGGAAGACAAAAACTCCCTTCCTGTTCATGCCGGGTACAGTAATTTTTTAGCCTCCTGTGCAGCGTATATGCAGTCCTTTTTTTTGGCAGGTATTCCATGGGCATGTCGCATTATTTCCTCTACTACTTTGTTCCATTCTCCTCTCCTCCCCCTCGGGTTACTCTCTGGAAATGTTTTTTCAACTCTTCTATCTGCTTGCTGACATGGCACTTTGCTTTGCATGTTAACGTGGTTGATCTTTTCAGAAAGCTGTTTTAAATGATTGTTCAGTTATTACATGTAGGAATGAGCTGATAGACACAGGCCATTTAAAACTATGTAAAATATCTGAATTAGAAAAATGCCTTCTACACTCCTATTATTTTCTCCTTGTTGTAAAAGAGAACAAACAATTTACAGCTTTCAGGTTTTGACAGCTTTTAGCACTTTTCTGAATGCAGTGTAAAATAGTTCCTGCACACGTCCATTACCAGCTCCCTGAGTTTTCCATGAGGTCGGGCCTGTTTCTCTTGTTGTTGAAGCTGAGTGTTCCTGCCCAGCCAGGGCTGTGGCTTTTGTAGAAGCCAGGCAGTCCTCCTTCTGTACACCTCTGAGTCGCTGAATTCAGTCTTTTGCAAAAAGGTCAATCATGTGAGCTCACACATTTCAACCTCATGAAACAGGGGTGGGTTTTTTTGTTGCTTGCATGTTTTATTTGGCTTTTTAAAGTTCCAGTTCTCAAATCTGCCAGTTTGGTACCCTGTGCCTTTTGTTACCTTCTTCTGAGCTATCTTCTTCTGGTACACATTCAGTGAGCGAGGAACCCTGCGGTTTTAACTCGTCATAAGGAAGATACTCGGAATCAAAATTCTACAGTATGTCCACAGGAACAGATATTTTGTTAGCTCAGAATTTCATAATCCTCTGTGAAAGAAATTTGAGGAAAGTTTGAGTTGGTTGTAAATTTTGTAAACTGTAAATTGTTTTGAGTTGGTTGTAAATTTTTTTTTTTAGTGTGTTCTTTTTTTTCTCCATCTCTCTGTTTTGTACTGTGACTAATGCATCAAAACAAAAATCAAAACATTTGATATTGTCAGAATGTTTTTTTTTCTTTTCCTTTCTGTGTAAGTAAAACTGCTTGGGGCAGCCCGCTGTCAGCACCTGGCTCTGGTAGAGGTTTCCTGACCATTTCTGTTTCCACTAGAGCTTTCTGAGTCAAGCCCCCACCACTCTGTTCACCTTATTGTCCTCTTCCAAAGCCAACCTTGTCGTGTAACTGTTTTGGAATATGTGTACACTCTTGATGGAGAGGGATTAAGTACATATCTAAATCTTTTTAAAGCTGTCCTAATCTGAGGTTGTTTGGGTTGTAGGAAAAAATGTACATTTTCTATCATGCCTGCACAAGATAAAAAAAGTCTTGTGGTGTTTTCACTCATGGCCACACTAAAGTATAATATTAACATAAATTGTGAGCCCTTATTACCCATGTGGCAACATGGTATCTTACCCTGCAGGTTACCTGGTCTGCTCTTAAATCTGTTGAGTTACTGTCTAAAGATCGACAATGGCTACCAGAAGAAACTTGTTTTTTAAATAATTTCAAACTTTCGTGGAAGCTGTAATGTAATAGGAAGCCTTTAAGCTGTGGGAAATAAATTTGTACCATTTCCTTTCAGCATAGATAGCCCTATCTTTCTTTCAGGTGACAATAATTTTGAACAGACTGACCACATACATCCATGCCCTTCCTGTTCCCCACTTTGCACTAAAACTGGCTGTCTCTCCACTCAGTTTTGAGTGAAGGATGTGAAGTCCTTTTTCATTACTGTTTAGGAATGGTGTATGTTTGAAGGAGTCAGAAGCTTTGGAATCTGGATGCTAACATGTCTCAAGTGAATATAGGTTGATGAGGTCTTGCAGTGGTTTGTAAATAGGCTGAATTTTGGTGGGTGGGCTTCTGCAGGGATGGCAAGGTCACCCTGGTGGGCAGCAGTTCTCCTCTGTGACCTATTTTGTCACTGTGCCTACTAGATAACACCAATATTTAAAACTCTGAAAAGAGAAATCCCACTAAGCTTCTGAGCAGTTCTTTATTTACATAAAATAAATGTAACTTTAGCTGTTATTATCTTCTCTAATATGCAGCTAAATAACTGCCATCATTTCTATTTATGTTTTTGTTTATCTGTTAGAAAAGAGTGGTGGAACAGCTTCGAAAGAATTTGATAGTGAAGCAGGAACAGCCTGACAGTAAGTTTCAAATACAGCCCTTGGCACAGTCAGAAAACAAACTACAGACACCACAGCCGCAACCACTACAACTACAGCAACATCACCATCAACAACAGCAGCAGTCTACTGCACCCTCTCCAAACGTGATTGGATCACAGGTAAAAAACTCTACAATAATTCTTGTCCTTGCTAAAATTGAATTTCACTAAAAAAAAATAAATCAAAGTGCAGAGAGAAAATTGCAAACTTTCAGTTATGCCTGTTAGTGTAGCAGTAGTTATTTCTCATTCTATGTATATTCATATATGGCTCTTGTGGAGTTTTTTGGCAACAACCTCCTAAGTCAAATTATGTAGTGTTTAAAAGTCAAATCATAACCTCACAAAAAAGAAGGGTGGCAGTATCACCTTTCTTAAAGTTTAGCAAATGAACCTGTCTTTTCCATAGGTATATAAATGATTGTTTGTCCATACCAAGTAGGTCTCAAGAAACAGTAAAGACTTTATACACACTGTATGATGTGTTTGATTACAATATTTTATTTTTAAAAGACTGACAGAGTGTCCACTGTATCTGTGAACAAAATGTAAGAAAAGAGTTGCCTCTTCTTTCTGTTTGGTTCTTTTTAAATAGATGTAACTCCTATCAGATAATACTTACCTGAGTTTGCAAGGATTCATCTGAAAGTGTTAATTGCAAAGTTTGAGTTCTAGAAAGTAGTGTCTTTATTGGGAAGGTACACTGAATTTCAGTACAGTATAGGATCAGAGACATAATCCCAGAACTCATCAGAGAAAGTGGTCTGCTTCTGCTGAGAGGAATTCCAAGTTTTTCCTATTCAAATATTTAACATCCCAAAAGTGTTCCAGTAAGACAGCTAGAAAGTGCAGGAAAGTGTTTTGAAAAAAGAAGTGTATGTGAGGTCTTTTTTCCTGTTGATGCAATCACAGCAGCTCATGTTTATCTGGATAGGCTGATGGCAGAATTCACTCATGGAGTTTCCTTTATGCACATTGCAGTGAATCACAACCGGAGCTTTGACCAGTTGTGATCTTGTTTTCCCTTTTCCTGGAAGTAGAGCAGGGAGAAATGATTGGGCTTTAGTTCTCTCATTAACTCAGCAAGTAGTTTTGGATGCACTCTAAAAGTGTATTTGTGAGGCTTAATTAATAATTGTATTTTTGAGAAAAGAGTATTGAAGAAGTGAAGCAAACTTACCTAAGGAAAAGACATTTCTGAGCAGCGACATCAATATCAAAGCTAAAACAGGACAAAGTAGTAAAAATTACTGTGCCCTAAATGCTTATAGGCAAACTATGGATCACACTTTGCTGTATCAGTGATCTCTGTTTTTCAGTCAGGAAACATGACTGCGAAAGCAGTTTCATGTATTTCTCCATATTCCACACTTTGCATTAACTTCCAGGTCATCTCCTGGCTTGTAAAAACTGAGGTTTTGTTCAAAGTTAAAGAGCCCTCTAGTGAAACAGTCAAAAAAGTGCTACACTGTTCTGACTGTACAGTTGTACTTGGAAAGTAATTGCAAACTGGAAGGTGGGTTGTCCTCTCGTTTGAAAAAATAAGCCATTTTTTATCCTTAACACTTTTCTGGTTTTATTTATGTTTGTATAATTCTGAAGTGACCTCACTTGATTCTGTACACATTTTGCATTTAAGGTTGTGCCTCTGACCTGTTTCAGCAAAGAAAAGTCAAATATTTTGTCACACTAGAAAGTTTTTTGGTGCCTACTTTTGTAAATAATAGGTTTTTCGAGGCTGTGTCAGTAAAGAGAATGCTTCCAATGGTTATTTTCAGAGTAATTCAATTTAGGAATCAAGGTGTATATGCTGCCTTAATAGTGACATTTAATATACTTACATAGTCCAGTAAGAAGGGCTTTTTAAGTTTTCACAAAGCACCCGGCCTGCTAAAAGGTCATATTATTGCAATGTTTTATGTGAAATAATGCAGACTTACTCTGAATGCCACTTCAGTTTGAATTCATGCATTGAAAACTTCTATTTTAGAATAACTGAGATAATTAATGCTCAGCGAAGTAGCAGGGATATTCAAGCTCTGTGATCTGCTGACTGAAACTATACTCCTCCTACTTAACAGACTTACTACAAGCCCTTGAAAGAGTCACAGTCTTCTTTAAAATATTTATGGATGAATGTAATGCTTGTGAAAATTATACCATGTTACATTTCATTGGAAGAGCTTGAATAATGTTACTGCATTGGGGGAATGGAGCCTCTTGCTTTGGAGAAGGTGCAGCAGAGGCCAATAAGCTCTTGAATCTCCATTAAAAAATTAAGGGAATTGTTCACGTTGCAACAAGGAAAAGTTAATTATGTCTGGATTTTGTATAAATATATAAAATTGAAGCATGAATTATCATTTGATTTGGCATGATACTGTGTTTGAATTTTTTTCATGCTTGTGTATAATTAGCAGGGGATATAAGTTAAGCATTATGCAATTAGAGGTGTGAAGGTAAACTGCATTTTTGTTTAAGGAAGTAATATTGGTGAAAATACTGAAGAATCCAACTGAAAATGTATTTTTATTATTTTATGGAAAAGAAGAGAAAGGTCTTGTGTGATTCAAATCAAGCAGTCTAGATCAGGCACGTTCAGAACATGTAAAAGATTGCCTGATGCCTGGTGCTCCATTTTTTCCTGTTGTAGAGCCTAGCGCTGACGTCAGGAGGGAATGGTGGTTATTTCATACTAAGAGCATTTGATCATGCCAGTAGCTGTTTTGAAGATGCAGTGCCATTGGTACAATAGATTTTCTACACCAAAGAGAAAAGAAATAAGCTCACTTGCCATTCTGTTGAGTGTCACTTGTCATAAGTTTTCTGTGCACATGGTGTTCTGGTTTTATATGGAGACACTCTTGCCTTGTTGCTTTCTGAATGAGATTCATAATTGTCTGTTTCCCTTAACATCTTAAAAGACAGTACATTTTAAAACAAAACTATGAAATTATAGTTGTTTTAACTTTGCAATTTGTGGGCACAGTGTATTCAGGCATTTCAGTTAAATGCTGGCATTAAGTGATTCAAAACCACTCTTTAAAACAGGCCAAGAGCAATCATGGCATCACATGTATGTTCCAAAACCAGCCCACTCCACAGAAGTTGAACTTAATTGCCTGCAGCTGGACAGACTAACAGCCAGCTCTTACAGGATAGCCCTACTGATACTCTTAGGAAAGAAAGTTAAGGGCTAAATAACTGTATTTGGGATACAGAAAATCACAAGCACAAACCAATTTATGAATGTTTTTTCCTTCTTCCTCTGATTAGGGGGATCTCTGTAAATAAAGTGTCCATTTGAAAATTTGAGTTTTAATTGGCGAGAAGCTAGTTTTCTGGTATGTTTCATAAACCTCCACATTATAGGTTTGGTATTAACAGTACATGTTTGGAAGTAATCTGAAACTAAAAGATCCAAAAATGTGTATACTTCTTGTCATTTTCTTGGGAATTTGTTTTGAATCAATCTGTAATGCTGCAGATGATTAAAATAGACCAAACAGGTGCCTCAAATGAGAATGCTTTCTAGCTATCCAGTTTTCAGAGACCTAAGATATGTGCTTGTCTGAACAGTAGGTAGACTCAGTGCTGCCTTTTTTTCCCTCTTACTGTGTATTGTTTCTGACTAACCAACCCACGTCCCGTCTGATGCGGAGTGTCTCTGTCTCTTACAGTGTATTTTCTGTTTCCTTTAGAAAACTGTAACTACAGCTTCTATGATCACCACTAAGACACTACCTCTCGTCTTAAAAGCAGCAACTGCGACCATGCCTGCCTCTGTTGTGGGTCAGAGACCTACCATCGCCATGGTTACCGCTGTCAACAGCAACCAGAAAGCAGTCCTCAGCACCGATGCCCAGAATGCACCAGTCAACCTCCAGACAACAAAAGTCACTGGGCCAGGAGCTGAGGCAGTCCAAATAGTGGCAAAAAACACAGTAACTTTGGTAAGTATTTCATGTGTTTGCCCTGCAGATGTGTGTGGGTTTGGTTTACAAGGAGGCTGTTTCGCACAGAAAGAATAGTAGGCACATGTCATGAGTTTTCGCTAGTTGACATTGTTGAAATGATAGTCTGAGAGAAAAGCATTTACTATCTCCATGGATTGTTATTACTGTTTTGCTTTACAGAATTAAATCTGTGCTATCATCACTTCTGTTTGTAACAGTTTCCCAGTGCTAGTAACCGTTAGTTACAGTTACAGAGTAACGGTTATTTTGACCCCGCCTGATCTGTGTGGCTGTGTTCTTACCAAAGAATTGCTACTCTCTGGTAAAGGAGATGTCATACTTTCTTACTTTGATCAAGTCTGGGTTTTCATCTTAGATTTTTTTGAGCCAATCTCGTTCCTTTCGTGCGATAAAGTCTCTAGTGCTAAACACATCACTTAACTCTGCCCATTACCACACCTTTGCTCACCACTTTTTCATACACATACACACAGATCCTGTTTCTTTAAACATGTATTTTGGAAAGTGCTTTGATTACATCACACAGTCTTTTCCAGAATAGTTAGCCACCTAAAAATAAAAGAAACAATGTTTTGGAATTGCATTATATAGGCTTCTTGGTCTGGAAACCATGTATGTGTAGTGTCATGATATTCTACTTCTGGAGTAAAGGCTAAGGCTTCACTAAACATAAATCCAATTTATCTTTATTAAAAAATACAGTTTAATAATGCAAGTGGAAGTAATTTTGCTTCCTAGTGAGGCATATGTTTGCAATCAGAATGGAGAAGACTATTTGAGGGGAGTTTTTTCTGCTGTTCTCTTTTCCCATGTCATCCCTTGCACCACTCTCATCTGTCCTTTGTGTCTGTGCTTCATTTCTTTGCTGAATAATTTACTTAAGTTTGGGGAGGTGAATCTGTTTTAATAATAGTCTGTGATTGATGTTTCTTTAGCAAATTTCATCAAAAATCTCTGAATATTTTCCCAAGCATTAATTAATCAGTAAAAGACCTTTTTGAAGTAAATTGCAATCTTATGTGGGTGGACAGAAGTACAGAAGGGTGGAAACTAACATGGACATTAATTTCAGATAATCTCACTGAGTAGTGAGGGTAGCTAGTAGTGGTATTCAGAGGTTAATCATGTGGCAGCTCCATCCAGCTGATTTCAGTTAGACAGGGAAGTACTTAGGTTGCCTTAAAATCAAATCTTAATTGTTTCAAATGAATGGCATACTTTTTAAAATTTCAAGTTGTGTGTTTAGAGCCCTCCTAGTGTAATTAATATTGCTAAAAGACTTGTAACTTCCAGATCTTCTTTTATTTGCATGAGATACTATTTCATTCTTCTGTATGAAAGGACATGGTTCATGTAGCTGGACATCAAAGTCTGTTATTATTTTCTGTCTGTTGTAAAGCCAATTTTTAACTATCAAAACAAGTAGGAGTTTTCATTATCTTCAAATGAAATAGTTTTAGATTGCAGATCACTGTAGTTAGTACAGTTGAACTAAAATGAAAGATACCTTCACTTTATGAAGCAAGTTGTGTAAGAACTGGAAAGTAAGATTAGCTCTGTCTTTAATACATTTCTAATGAGGAACCTGTTACTGTGAATAATTATTTACAGAGTGGAAAACCAGGGACATCAGGTCTGAATATATATTAAAGATGTTGATTTTGGTGAACAACTTCAAAGCTATTTTCCTCTTACTGAACACTCTTTATGTTCTTATAGCAGGTTCAGGCTACACCTCAACCCATAAAAGTTCCACAATTCATCCCGCCTCCCAGACTTACTCCTCGTCCAAATTTTCTTCCACAGGTGAGTGTACAGAGAACAAGCAATAGAAGGAACTTAATTGTAGCACAGATAGGAGATACATTCTATGAGGGTCATTTTTGCCAGTCTTTATTGGTGGCCTGGTGGAGACAATTAATCCTCAGCATGTTTGTGAATGATGCCTGAATTTGAGGGCAGTGCTGACATTCAGAGGGCCCTATTCAGGCTAGAGGAATGGGCCAGTAGGAATCTCTTGAGCTTCAGCATGGAAAAAAGCAAAGTCTTGCACCTGGAATGGACTAACCCCAGCCACACACACACACACACACACACACACACACACACCCGCCCCATCTGCATTGGTACAGCCTGGGGAGCATGACTGCTTAAAAGGTCTTGGTTGACAGTATCTAAACTAGTGGTGTGCCCTGGCAGCAAAGCAGCCTAGTAGCATACTGGGCTGTACCAACAGGACCACAGCCAGTAGATTAAGATAAAAGGTTATTCACCTTTCCTCAGCAAACATAAAATGGGATCTGATAAACAGCATGCAGTTTTGGAACCCCCTAGTTGATAAATTTGAATGAATCAAGTGGAGGAAGGCAACTAAGATAGCTAGGGGCAGGAATATATGAGCTACAAGGGGAAGTTGAGGGATCTGGGCTTGTTCAGTTTGGAGAAGAGATTTTTGGGGGCACTCACAGCAGCCTTATTTCCAATTTCAACAAAGAAGTTAACAAGAAGATGGAGACATAGGTACTTAGCAGGAGATCTATATACAATGATCATAAACTGGAACAGGGAAGATTTAGACTATGTATAAGGAAACAATTCTCTCTTTAAGGACAGTTAGGAGTGGAAGAGCCTTCCCAGAGATGTTGTGGGAGCTCCATCCTTGGAGTTTTACAAGAGCTATCTGGATAAAGCCCAGAGAAACCAGGTCTGCATTTAGTGTTAGCCCTGCTCTGAGCAGGAGGTAAAATTAGAGACCTCCTGAGCTGCCTCCCAACCTGCATGAGTCTGTGATTACGAAATTTGCATATGGTTATCATATATGATCCTATTTGAATCAAATGAAATGAACACATGGAACAGGTGTCAGCAAAATCAAATCATCAGCCAAGGCCTTAAATTGTTCTAATTGTCTGCTGCTCATGAACAAAAGGAAACTATGATGTTTCTAGATTATTCCCAAGTATTTCCGTATTGCAACAGAGGATTGCTTGTGTTATTGTATAAGTAAAACTTGTGGTTTACTTTTTTTTCATGGTTTGAGAAAGACACAGATTGCTTCTTCATTTAAAAAAACATCTTGAAGGAACTGTTTAATTTGTAGGAAATAGGTGGTGCTGTGAATAAAAGTCTGAGTCTTTTACAAAGGGCAAAAGGAAAGTATAGGCTGGTATCTGATTAAGATTTAGGGATTGCGAGATCTGTTGGAATGTAACCTAGTTTCCCATGGTAAAATGCATTATGGAGCATTAAATGTGGATGGGACAATAGGTATCAAATAAGGAAAAAGGCTTTCTTTTCAGAGTAATGTAATGTACTTCTGTACTCTGTAATGATGTAATAAGTGCAAACTTAACAATGGGCAAGAAACAAGCAAGTGTTGAAGAAACAAACAAGTGGTGGAGTATTGGAAGATGCTTGTGGCTCTCTTCTTTCTTGTGAAAGAAGAAGAGAGTAATGACTGCATTTACCCATAGCCTTTAGCACTTCCAGTGAGGGATTAATGTATAATCTTGACATTTTTTTTGCAGAGCAAGATTGGTTGTGCAGGTGTCTAAATAATAAATAGAGTTGGCAAAGGTAACAGGGATTTGCTGAAAAATTAAATTATTTCTTTCAGGGCACAATCAACTGTTCATTATTTCTTGGAGGCTCAGTATAAAGCCCTGAGACACACTTTTAACATGAGAGCCTTAGCTGTGTCTGTAAATATTACATGAAGGTTTTGGCTTGCAAAACCAGTATGTCGATTTAGATACAGGTAAGGCATTTAGCAATAAACATGCAATATAAGTGTCGTGCATCCAAATACCATTTCAGGGATAGTGACTGCATATGTAAATGTTATGAATGGGTTTTATGCAAGTAGGTTTGAAAATGTGGCTTTTCCTTCTCATGGCATACTTAGGACACTATGCTAAAAATGACAGTCTATAAAAAAATCAAGCAACCTTCTGCAGATTATTGAGGCTGAATTGAAAGACTTGGTAAAAAAGTTAATCCAAAATAGATACACAAATCTCTGTTGTTTTTTTTTTTTCTTTTTGTAGGTTCGACCTAAACCTGTTGCCCAAAATAACATTCCTATTGCCCCAGCACCTCCTCCTATGCTTGCAGCTCCTCAGCTTATTCAGAGGCCTGTGATGTTAACAACAAAATTCACACCCACCTCTTTACCCAACTCTCAGAATTCCATACATCCAGTTCGTGTAGTTAACGGGCAGACAGCAACCATAGCCAAAACGTTCCCTATGGCACAGCTCACCAGCATCGTGATAGCAGCACCGGGTACCAGGCTTGCTGGACCTCAGACTGTACAGATCAGCAAACCAAACATTGAAAAACAGGTACAGATAAGAAAGTGTCTACTAATGCAGCGTGCTGGGTTCATTGCTTTACTGTGCTGTTTTGGAGAGGATGACAACCATGCAGAAATTTTCATTGGGTACTGGAGATATTCGTGTACCAATAACAGTACAAATGATGAAATAACTTGCAACTCTTGGGGTAGAAGTTACCATTTTCTTTAATATGGGCCATCGGAATCTTTTTCTCATGCTTCAGTGTTTTTATGCTCCCCCTACTGTCTTAACTTCAGTAGTTTATAAGCAAGCTATACAGCAGGGCTGTACTAGTATCTTGGACTGAAATCCATGTTCATATCAAGCCTTCAAGAAACACTAGAAAAATATTTCCCATGTTTCTGTTTTTCAAAGGGTGGCTACATGAAGGGCAAAAATTAGGCAAAATTGTAGGGGTTTTTAATACCATAAATTTAGCCATTTCTTCCTTGATCTTGAAGTATTGTGATTGGAGGCAAAATAGTTTCACTCAGCTTCTGAAGACTGATAGTTCCCCATGACTAAATTGGATTGATTGAGTGGAAGGGAGACCCTCAGAAACAGAGAATTCTAGATGTTTAGCTTTAAAGTCTCTCTCCAGAAAAGACTTTTCTAAAATGAAACATAACTTTAGTCAGTGGGGATTGCAACTGAAAGTCCTTGCCATTTAGTTCACGTAAAGCAGTCTTCTGTTTCATTTTAACTCTTTCATGTATATGTTACTAATAGTATAATATTGTATACTGTATAATACATTATCTACAATATATATTTATGTAATTTATATAAATAATAGTAGTATATATTTCACTTCTAATTCTGTCATAGTCTAATGTGCCTTGAAGTTACCTTCTGCTTTTGAAGTCACCTATGAAGGCTGTGAAAATCATGTGCATGAAAGATATGCTCTTGCTCAATTCTGCTCATGAATTCTCATGAGTAGGTTCTTGTGTACCTCAAGGCTGTTCCACAAGTTACTCGGCAATGCGTGCTCTTTTTGTATGATTTGAAGTTGTACTTCTACAATATTATACTTTTGATGCCTATTCCTTTTGATGTCAGCAATATTCGTTTGCTCTTCAAATAATTACTGGCAATTCAACTGTTGAAAAAACATACAGAAGAATGGTGGTGGATTAATAATACATGAATTTTTCAGTATGTTTTCTCCGTATCATAAAGGAGAATAGTTTGTGTCTCTGTAGCCTACCTCACTCAGTTTGTAGCCTCAACAGCTGTGCCACGGGCTGAGGATTGTCATGCAGGGTTTGTGATACCACTGCAGAAGATTATGACTTCAGAAAAGAAAAAAGCTTCAGAAACATCTGAGATCATAGGATTCAGAGAAACAATTTTTGAGCCATTCGTAATTCTATGAAATATGAAGACTGAGGAGTGAGAAATACAAAATGCATGTGCCATGCAGAATGGTTTCTACCTGGAAGTCTTCCATGGGATGCTTTTTCTTCAAGTGTCTGTTAGTTTTCCCATACCATATAGTGATTTCTGTAATGGAGTTAACTCTTAAGATGGTTTTTATTGCTTGCATGGGTTAATGGAGTCGTGGTAAGGCTGTTTCATCCTTTGTTAAAGGAAACCACTTTATTTAATATTCCTCTCACCTCAAATTCCTCAATTAAGTCTTTGTTACCACACGCCAGCTTTAAACTGGTTTTCTCCTGTATCTGCAAAAGCATTTATTTTATCAAAGTAAAAAAGGTCTTATCACTGAATGAGTGAAACACTGTTTCATTTCAGACTATTAAACCACATGTGGAAGCAGAAGAGAAGCAAACAGAAAGTCGTACAGTTACTCCACCTGCTGCACCGAAGCCAAAACGAGAAGAAAATCCACAGGTATCAGAACACATACAGAACTTTCTTTTAAGAAAAAAAGGAAGCACTCTGTCCTTCAGAAAATATTTTTCCCCCTCTGTTCCTTCAAGACTCCTTAACTTTTAACATTCCATACATTCCTGTTGGACAGCAGTCATTGATAAGGCTACAGAATAAGAAACCTAAATAAATATAATGCATTGCATTTTTCAGTCCTGGAATGCATTTGAGCCTTTTGTAAGTTACAAGATCATAATTCCCCTCTGATATTTCCTTCAACCAGAAGGCTTAGATTACAGTGTTGATTTCCATTCCTTTGAGGTTTTAGACTTCTGGAGTTATTTTTAACACTGGAGAAACATCTTTATTTTGCTTTATAAAATATTTCTGCTCTAGTGAGCAGGATGGAAAGAGTCATGTATGTTCACATTCTGCCCAGGTTTTATTCCAGTTCAGGTCCAGTTGGTTTTGCAGGAAAAGAGTGGCCAGAATGGATATTTCTTAAAGCCTTTCTGCCATGGAGAGCTTTGGAACTGGTTACAGCTATATGCTCTGATACATTTGTTTTTGTAGATTAATTCAAACTGACTACTGCGTGATCATTAACTGTTGTCAGTACAAATTCTGATTTTTACACGTCTCTGCACTTCCTGCACTAACATCAGAATCCTTTAAGAAAGCCATAGCCCTTATTGAATGGCAAAAGTAAACCAGAGTTGCTCCTTGTAGTTCACAATATATGGAAAATGATCTTCAACTAGCAATATTTTGCTAGCAATTATACTGTGTTGCTATTTACTAAGAGCCAATCACATAGTCACTCCAGTGTCGGACTGTAAGTAAAGAAACTGCTTTCTTGTTCCCAGCTCTGCCAACTCGGTAATCATGAGCAACTGGCATTTCCCTGTATCTCAGTCTAGGTTCCCATCTACAAAATAGGACTATTGTCTATCCTCTGTAGAGCAGTTTGACATATATGAATGAAAAGTGATTGCTAGAAGCAAAGTATTACTAATAACAATTTTGTTGCTTAGTTACCTATCAACTGACTTTAAAGAGCCTAAGTGACATAGCTCATCCTAACTGTTGGACTTGTCATGATCTTATTTTTTTTCCCCTCACAGAAACTTGCCTTCATGGTGTCTCTGGGACTAGTTACTCATGACCATCTGGAAGGTAGGAAAAATATCTAAAATTGGTTCTTAGGCTCCCTGTTTCATGGCCATTCTGAATTGGAAGTATGGATCCAAAATATTTCTGTATTAAATGCAGTGTTTTCTTGCACGAAAGTACATTTGCAATGTCTGAACTCCTGATCTGACTCAGTTTGTTGTGCATACTTTTGTATTCCTCTTATTACACTGAAATAAGGCAGTTGCTTATGCAGCAGAGATCAGTGACTGGGAAGAAAGTGATGGTAGGAAAGAAATTTGTACCTCTGATGGTGGGAAAGAAATTTGTGACAATCCCATTGCTTTCTAGACAACCCCTGTATCTGCAAATTTACACCATAGACAGTTTTACTGTAACCCACATCTGGATTTTTCATGTGTTTCATGGGACTGTAATCTGTAGTGGATGAGTTAATAGATTACAATTGGGTTTATAATTTAAACTTCTTAATCCTATACAGTGAAACAGAGCCTATGTATTTCTGTACTGTATTTATTTTTAAGTATCCATAAGGCACCAGAGGCTTTTAGTTTTAGATCCCAGTTACACTGACCATGAGTTTAAAACGTCATCATTGTGACATAGTTGGCAAGGTGAAGGCAGTCATTTCATTCATTAATTGAGCACTGTGTGTGTATTCCTTGTTAGCTCTTAGTTTTCAAACGTTCAGAAATTAGCAGTATAACAAAGTTGCCTATACTCAGCATGATTGGTATTCTGTAGAAATCTTCACAGGTCTCTTCACATGCAAACTGAATTCTGAGGACTTTAAATAATTTCTGAGACCCATTGTTTTCTAACCTGAATGCTTTGTTTTTACAAGAAATCCAAAGTAAGCGACAAGAGAGGAAAAGAAGAACAACAGCAAATCCAGTTTACAGTGGAGCCGTTTTTGAGCCTGAGGTATTAATTTTTTTGCTGGGAAAAGCTGGTATTTTCATTCTGAGCTTGTGTGTCTTTCTGCCATGTGGCTACCTCCTAGGCTGTCTCAGTCCTAACTAGATGGGCAAGCTATCATTTATAATTCAAAAGGCCATTGCAATGATATGACCCGCAGATTTTTAAATAGTAATACATTGGGATGTTCTTCTAATATTTACATCTTTTTCTGCCTTCTCCGTGTAAAGCTGACATTAAATGGCAGTGTGTGTGTTAGTCTTACTATTAGGTCAGCTTGTGTATCAGCCTGAAGCAGTCCAGATGTCAGCAGTGTAAAAAAACTAACTCTTCTGAAGCTGTGCTTCAGAAAACAGAACAGCCAGTAATTTCACTTAGTATTACTGTGCTGTTCCTCAGCTATTGCATATAGTAGTTGGTAAAAATGTTAGCCAACAAAAATTGTTATGTTCTTCCCTGCAGCGCAAGAAGAGTGCAGTCACATACCTGAACAGCACAATGCATCCCGGAACACGTAAAAGAGGTGAGGTATACTTAGACCTGTCTCCCTGCTGTATGCCTCTTCCTCCATCTTGCATTTGCAAACCCTTGTTGATTTGAAGGGCAAAACAAAGGAGGCCTCTACAATACTTCATTTGTCCAGTAAACTTCCATGGCAGACAAAGATCATGGCTTCTAGGGATTAGCATAGCAAGTTGTATTGGGCAGCTCAGTGTTTCATTTCAGTTTCACTCTTCAAAAAAATAAGATACGATAGAGCAAAGTGAAAGGTGCAATGTTTGAACATCATTTAGTGGTGTAAAGCTGCTGTCAAGATCCTCTTGTTAATAACTAAATTGTATTTTTACTGTCAAGAAGAAGGTGGTTATGGAAAAAGTGTCTGTGCCTTGAATAGGAGAGGAAACTTAGTGTGACAAAAGCCTTGTTCCCCACTGAGTGTAGAGATGGGTCCTTTATAATAATTTATCTTGAGCAAGAAAGGCTATCGTGCTCATACTGAGCACTTTTCTGCAACCAGAGTGCCACTTGTTCTAAAATAAGAGATGATCTTTCATATAGGTATGCAGTATTATTCAAGAGAAATCCTTCTTTAGAACAGGTAAAATTTTAAGACTTAGATTATGGTGAAGCAGATGAGTCAGAGCAGCATAAGAGAGAACGTGATACAATTTTTTGTGCATGGCACCAACCACACATATATGACAATCTTTCCCTGATTTTTTATGATTTTCTGAAGTCCTAAAGACTTGTAATACCTTCTCTACTCCTGAGTTTGCTGCCTAAAAGAAGTAATGAATCAGATTAAAAAAAACGTCAGTTCTACCTAGCACTGACCAGTTCCATTATCTTTGGTTTTCGGCTGCAAGGTCAGAAATTTGAGATGTGCTCTCCTTGATATACCTCTTCAGTCCAGCAGGCAGTGTGGCAAAGCTGACACTTCTGCAGCTATGCTGTTTCTAAATAAAATACATCAGTCTCTACTGCCATCCTCTAATAACATTAAATGTATTTTTTTAAATTATATGATGTAGATTTTAGAGAGAGAGAGTTTTGCATTTACTCTGGGGATAAGTAAATGTTCCCTCTTCTGGTAATGATTTCTTAATTCTATTTTATAACTCATTGTGAACAATTACTGTATCAATGAAAACAATTGCATTCTTTTGTATTTGATAGTCTTTTAGCCTGTTTTTGCACACTGACTGCTTATTATACCTCCTTTTTTTTTCTCACACCCTGTTGTGAGCCTGTACCTTGCATCAGCACCAAATCAGTAGCACACATTTTCAATTGACAAAAGATTTGGAGGTATACATTTGTTTTGTGATTTAGTAAAGCAATATATTAGGTAAAAAGCTTATGCAAGCATGTGCCCTTGAGAGCTTTACTTTAATTCTAGATGGTGCTGAGCATGTCAGAAATTTCAGCCATGGACATCACTATCAGAAATCCATTTCCAAGGACATACTTAGTCCTGGAACATATCCAGACGTTAAATGCAAGGTTTAGCATGTTAATAGGTATAGGCTGATGATCTGTAAACCTAAGATCTGGGGAATTATTCCTAGATCCGAACTTCTTTATGTTTACATATCCATAAATTACCCTGGAGAAGAGAGTCAGAAATAATGGTTACATACTGGGTTTTTGCTGTCTTGCTTTACATAGATAATTTTATGAAAATTGTTATGAGCACATTTTGCACTTCTGCTAGTCTGAAGGAGCACATAGGAGTTGTGAATAATCAAACATACTTAACCAAGAAAGTCTAAGAAGGAATACAGAATTTGAGGGGGATTTATAGTGGAAAACCAGTGGTAGGTGACAACTGGTACTGCTGGTGTTTTGGGTCAGACAACAGAACCTGTTCTTAAGGTAGCCTAATTTTAAAAAATGTACCAGTAGGGTAGAAAGTGCTGATCCTGTAGGTGAGTGGGTTTAAAAAAAGGGGAAGAAAAGGAGGGGGTTGGTGAGTGTTGGCCTCTGATAAAGGACTTAACCTTTGTGTAGATTTATGCTGGCACTAGAAAGATAGGGAGGTGTGGGATAACAGTAGAAAGGATTTAATAGTAGTTATTGTAGCTTCTCTCTAGCTTTGATGCCAACATGTTTTTCCTAAAAACTGAATAGCCTAATTTCTAAGAGTGGCAAGTGTCCCCATACTGCTTTTGTGGGAGTGATTCTTTGACCCTCTACAGAGCTTATTTCTATTTCCTTCTGAAATACATCTTTTAAATGTTCTTTCCTTGCAAAATTCTGCTTAAAGATTTCTAAAAAATGTTTAAATCTTTGCTTCTGTCCTTCCACTTGTAACTTTTATATTAACTTCCTCTCTGTGCTACATCATTTCCTTTTTCACGCTAGCCAATGAGGACCACTGGCCAAAGGTATTTTTTTTTTTTTTTTTTTTTTTTTTTTTTTTTGTGTTCCCTGTTGTTAATATGTAGGTCGTCCACCTAAATACAACACGGTGCTGGGGTTCGGGGCTTTGACCCCCACGTCCCCTCTGTCCAGTTATCCTGATTCTTCCCCCGAAAATGAAAAGACAGAGACCACATTTACTTTTCCTGCAGCTGTTCAGCCTGTGTCGCTGCCTAGCCCCAGCTCCACAGACGTAAGTAACTCTTGGGGTGGGGGTTACTTTTAGAAAGATAAGCAGAAACAGCCACAAGGAAAATCATTGCAGATTTTGTTTCTTTAAGCTCACTCGTCATTTGTCCTGATTCAGTGCAGTGAAACAGTCCAGCGTTCTTTTAACACCCTTCTTTTTTCCCCCTGCACCTATGATCTTGTCCTGTGGAGATTTTATTTATAACTCCTTCAGTGGATTGAAACATTGGGAGGCACCAAGCATGCTACATGAGCTCATTTCCTTTGTGCGGTGTCTGAGATCTTGTCGAACTGAATTGAATCTGTCATCCATGAAAAAGGGGGAAGGGGAGAATGAAAAGTATTACTTACAGACCATAATAACCAAAAGTTGTGGTGTTTCGGTAGCGAGAGGAGGGAAACAGCCTGGGTCACGCAGAGCAGCCGGGAGCAGCGTTTGCAGCACTGGTTTGGCAGTTCTGGTGTTCTAGTTTAGCTAAACACATCACCTCTGTGCTCAGATTGCAGTATCTCTTTTGAGTGAAATCTTGTCGTGTTGTTCTCATTTATAAAGAAGCGAGTGTCCTTACTTTTAAGTTAATTCAAAGATAAGATTTGCTACTCAAAGCACAACCTTTTTTAAGTTGCTGAGAACTATCCAGTTATTTAATTGTTTCTATTTCTTGGAAAAACATGATTTAAAAATGACAGGTCATGCATAAACTTTAGAACATAAATAGTATGGGATGAATTGGACTGAGTCGCTGTTGAGGTGCAAAATGGCATAATGAAGAGACGGTACGCTACGATTTGTCTGAAAGTGTACTGTGACTGTTCAGTATGGGTGAAACAATTCATTGCACAAAAATTTTCAGGATTTGTAGTGTACTTCCAGTAAAGTGCTTGCATTTTAATGACTAGTGCTTACTGGGCATAGTTTAAAAATAACAAGGTGCTTGCTTATTTCTTCATACCAGTGCTGCAAACTCCTTCTGCAATGTGAGTCAGAGTGATCTCTTTTTTTTTTTTCTTTTTTAAACATATTATCACATATAATTGAGGCCCAACCATTTGAAATGGGCTTTAAGGTAGAGTCGGGCTGCTTTTATTTTCATCTATGCAGTTGCACCACTGTAAGTACATAGACTGAGAGACCAACTCACTGACCACATACAGTAGGGAATAGAAGCCAACTTTTTGCCTCTGAACTGTATTTGTTCTGCAGAGGTAACAGGAATAGAACTAGTGCAAGTGTGTCTGAGTCACTGAAATAAATAGATGCAATTCTGATACCCAGGGAATACGTATATGAAATTAAAAGGTTCTCTTTCAGATAGTCATTTTTGAGAGCAGAATAGCACTTGACTGTAAAAACGCTTTCCTGACAGTCAAATGAATGGCACTGTGGAACAGCCCCACAGGGAGGAGGTGGGGCAGCTCTCTCTGGGGACTTTTAAAAGTAAACAGCACAAACAACTAGCAGACGTGCTATAGAGCACATTTTTTTACATTGGCCCCAAGAGAAGGAGTGGATAATGTGGTGGGGGTCTTTTCTGTCTCTGATTTGTGTGTCTATACTGCCGAGTCTTTTCCCACTGTGTAAGAGCTCTCAAAACAGTATTATGAGTTGTTGCCCTGTTTTCTGCAGTGCCTTATGGCACTAAGCTAAATCAAGAATAGTGAATTTCAGTAGCATTCAAATCTAGTGCTGAATGCCCTGAATTTTCTGTATTTGGATAGTATCTAGGCCTAAGTTCTGGATTGCTTTAATACTCATTAACTAATGAAAGTAAAAGTATTTTAAAGGAGACAATGGAAGATTACACAGCACATAATTAACATTCTCTCTTACATGAGCATATTATAATACAGCGCAGTAGCACTTTTCCCCCTTTAGAATCATATATAAATCTCCTTTAACATGTTTCCAGACAAGTCATTTAGTTTATACATATGAAACAGCACTAACATTTTTGTGGGTTTAACTATTTGAAAGAATTTTTATCCTGAAGTCCCATTCAATGCATATTTGCTATCGATTGGTCTAAATTGGTAGACTTTTCAGAAATACTTGGTATTGCTGTCCAGATAAAATAAAATACATATGAAAGTAGAAATCATATTTCAAAGTGCTCATAAAAACTTTTAAAAATTAAAAATAGACTGTTAAACAAAATTTGAACCTTTGGAGACAACCAAATGTTGTAAGGGAAGTAAAGATGAGATCTGTACATCTGTCATTACATGTTATAATTCTTACTAATCAGAAAGAGAGGAATGATTTCCCATTGCCATCACGAGCTGGAAGGTAGTCTTCTGTTAATATATTCTCATAAAATTGCTGTATAAGCTTGTGCAGTCACATGCCTTTTTTGTGACTCGTTTTCCCCCATTTATACATTTTGCATGGTGCTTCCTTTTCCCATCTGAGTTTTGAGAACTTAGCAATACTTGTAAAAACCTTTAGCATCCTTGACTGGGAAAATGCTATATAATACTGGAAAAGTACTGTATATTTAAACACCGACAGTACAAGTTGTGCTGGAGGTAAAGAAAAAGAGGAAAATCAGGTCTTTGGCATTTAAGGAGCTTGCAGCTTAATTAGATGTAGAATGCAGTATACACTAGAATGCTCATGCCACAGTTTATGACCAATGCTGCCACTGAGAACTGTCCTGCCTGTCACCAGCAGTCTTTTCTTATCCCTTAAATGCCTCCTCTGTTGTTCTAGCACAGATATATCTGAGGCCACATTGTGATCTGCATAAGAGAATTGGCGTAGCTAAAAATTGTTAGCCAAGATCGTGCCCTAATCCAGTTAATTTTATAGACACACACATTCTTGTGCCAGCCTCATGCAGGGGACAGAAATAAGTGTCTGGACATAGAGAGAAGGCAGGATGACTTATTTTGGCAGTGAGGCCAGCCCATGTCATGTTGAAGAGGGTCTTCTCTGTTAGCAGATGACATGAATATAGAAAGGTCTCGCTATTATAGGTCAGAAAAAGTCTCTAGTTATAGCCTCCATCTTTTGGGGACTTAAAAATGAAAACACATGCCTAAATAAAAGGCTGTTTCAGAAATCTCAGTTAAAACAATTGAGCAGTTCCTCAGACAGATATAGAAGAAATATTTTTGCATTCGTTTGCTGAGAAGGTCTAATTCCTATAAGCTTTAGGATGGAAATCTGATATTTAGCACTCGAGTAAACTTTGTCTTTAGTCAGCCCATGAAAATTACAGATCAAGCCAAGCACTTAGCAGCAGGCACCATGGCCCAGAATGGCCTTCTTGCCTTTCTCCTGAATTGTCGTGACAGGGATAAATTTTGAAGGGAGGATGAAGAAGAAACTTGAGATGGGATTGGTGATAAGGATGGAGGGGCAGAAAGTAGGAATAGAACTTGGGAAAAGAAAGGAAGTAATGCTAAAGTCTACTCTTTTTTTTTCCCCCTTCTTTTTTCTATTTGGCAATTGGCTGTGAATCACTTGGTTATGTGTGATTCTCCCTCACCAAGCAGTAGTGGCATATTCACCTGGAAGATGGCAATTGCCTCTAAAGGTCAATTGCTCAGCAGTAAGAACAGTGTAAAAATCTTTGTTCTAGTGATGGTCGATGTCTGTGGTCACAAAATGCCTTTTTATTAGTGAACTTTTTATATGAAAATAGTGTTTCAATTGAGAGGAGCATTAGAGAACATTCAGATTGCAAAGTCAAGCCCACAAAAGTTCGGAAATGGAAAAATTATTCTTACTTCTTGCATCATACTTTATTCAACTTAATTCACTTGCCTCATACATTATGGTCATCTTTATTTATATGGTCATAAACTATTCTTGTTGCTGAATATTTAGTTTTCCCATGTTGTTCAAGTGAAACATACACATATGTATTGTTACATTACGTATTCAAACACACAAACTACAGATATTTTTGATTTGATACTCTATTATTCAGTTCTATTGCCTAAAGCCAGGCCCTGCTGCTCTAGACACTTTATAAAAATAAAGAAAACTGTTAGCTGTCCAAAAAGCTCTCATTTATTTTCCTAGTCTCTCGGTGTGGAGGAAGTAGAGCAAAAAGTGACATTAAATCACTTTTTATGGTCTCCATTCTGAAATTATTCTTCAGTCTCTTCAGCCCGTAGCATGTGTTAGAGCAGCCTCAGTGAGCTCTACTCTAGCCTAAGCTGGCTGCCTGCAGCCTTCACAGAGCTGGACCAGAAGTTGAGATTAATGGGGTGCATGTCACAATATCAAATCCAGCCCCCCTTTATGCATATATTTATTAACTGCCCATAAAACCTGGGGTGTTTCTTTGGAATCAAACAGTGGCTGGGATTTTTGTAAGGTCAGTTATTAATTCTGAGGAAATGCCCTGAATTTTACATAACCCAAAATAGGGCTGTGGATTCTGTGCATGTGTGTTGTCATCTCAACACATTCAGCCGCACTGCACACTGACCAGCTGTGTCACTTCAGGTTTCACAACATTCACTTGAATTTAGAAGGTTCTGGGTCGAAATTTCTAAATGTGAGAATTTTCCTCTTAAATTTTTCTTAGGTTGCAGAGGATTTTGTTTTAGCTTATATGACATCTCCTGCCTGCCTCCTTTTCCTTGTACGCATGAGGAAAATAAGTTCCTCTTATCAGATCACTTCATAAGAGGCATGAAATGTCACTCATTTAGTTCTTCATTTAACACTGAGGAACTCTGCTGTTAAAGGATGAAGTAATACCATAACCCAGTGTCGTAGTTTAACCCCAGACAGCAGCTAAGCACCACACAGCCACTTGTACACTCCTCCCCTCTCCCAGTGGGATGGGTAGGAGAATCCAAAAAAAAGTAAAACTCGGGGGATAAGACCAGTTTAATAACTAAAATAAAAATATAAATAGAGAATAAAATATAATAATAATCATTATATAATAATACTTGTAATAAAAAGGAATATAATGAGAGAAATAAACCCCAAGAGAAGACAAGTGATGCACAATGCAGTGGCTCACCACCCACTGACCGATGCCCGAGCAGTGATCTGCCCCTCTCAGCCAACCCCCACCCCAGTTTATACACTGAGCATGATGTTCTGCGGGATGGAATAGCCCTTTGGCTAGCTGGGGTCAGTTCTCCTGGCCGTGCTCCCTCCCAGCCTCTTGTGCACCTGCTTGCTGGCAGAGCAGGGAAAGCTGAGAAATCCTTAACTTAGGACAAGCCCTACTTAGCAACAACTAAACCATCAGTGTGTTATCAGCATTGTACCCACACCGAATCCAAAACACAGCTCTGTACCGGCTACTAGGAAGAAAATTAACTCTATCTTAGCCAAAACCAGGACACCCAGCTCTCAGTTATCCCTGGGAGTTACGGAACCAAAACATGGCACTGAGAATTCACTACAGATTCATCATTTACAAAACATGACATCAGTGCTAACCTTGGGAATTAAGAGAAGAATAGTCTTACCTTCAAAGAAAGGCCTCATCAGCAATAGAGCCGAGAAATAGAATCCTGAGCAAATTGCTTGTGTGTCATTCTTCTAATATATTTAATATTTTATCCACAGTAGAGATTAGTGTCATTTCTCTTGCCCAGCAACTTAATGTGTAAGTGCACGGCAAAATCTGCTATCACTCCAGATTGATAGAATTTAGCCACGTGCGTGAAAAGACCATATGGGTCAAAATGAAACCATGCACACGCAGTTTGATCATACAGGGGAGTGTACATGTGCAGTTTGACTGAACATACACATCTTAAGATCACAATCTTGCAGATCTGGTGTGTGTGTGTGTAACTTTAACTGAAGTCAGAAGTGTGTATTTCAGACTCCAGGTGGGGCCTGGGTTGCCAGGACAGCCCACAGGCAGTGGGAGGAGAGGGCTGGGGTGCCTTTCTCCTCTGTGGATGCTGAGCCATCTTTCTTTCATGCCTCTTTGTTCAAATATATGAAAAACGAAGAAAAACAAACAGAAACACCACCACCGCTCCAAGTATGAAATGGGAGTTACAAAAGGAGAGAGAGAGAAGAAAAAGTGACAAAAATCAGACCTACCTTTCTGGGAAGTTAATGGCTGTAGAAAAAAAATTCTCTCTGACAGTGATGCAATAGTAACTATACCTAGTTTTTTAAGAGACACTGCCAGTAATGTTTTCAGTTTTTTCTGTTTAAAACTCCTTAGTTAGAAAATCTCTCTTAGTATTCCTTCGTCTTGGCTCTCAGCTTATTTTAGTGATGAGACATAAACCACTCTCTGTAGAGAATGAGAAAAATTTGAGTCACGGCTTTTTTTCGTGCAACTTGAGCTAACCTAAGTAAAGTAAAAAGAACTGTCTTAGAACATAATTCATTCTGTTCTTTTTCATTTACAAGCACAACACCTTTTCCTTCCAGTTTCATTTTTAAAGGTGACCTAAATATTTGACAGTGTTCTTTCAAGTCCCTCAATTGGGGTTTCTGATGCTTTGTTACTGGCAAGAGACAGCCTCATCAGCATTCCTGAGGTGGAGTTGGGCTTAAATCCAGAAATGAGAAGGGTTAAGAAAGTGGGTAGCTCATCACTTTAGGCAAAAAAAAAAAAACAAAACAGGGTCAAGGGGGAACCTTAAAGAGGAAAGGCTACAGGGTAGCAGCTGTTAAGAGAAGCTATGGTAATAAGTGTTTGCTGTAACATTTTGCCTTGGGAGGGCAGGGGGAGTGTTTGGGAAGACAGATGTCAGTGTTTGTGATATCCTGCCTGGTTTTCCTGTTTCACGGCCTAAAAAGGGCTTGACCATTTGGAATCCCCTTAGAAATAGCTTGTGATGTAAAATTTGCATTCAACTAGGATGTAGATGTCAAAGGTCAAAGTTCACTTTTTGATTTCTCTCTCTCTGTCACCCACACCCCTTCCCCTCAATTTTACAGGGCGATATCCATGAGGATTTTTGCAGTGTTTGCAGAAAAAGCGGGCAGTTGCTGATGTGTGACACATGTTCACGTGTTTATCACCTGGACTGTCTGGACCCGCCTCTGAAAACCATTCCCAAGGGCATGTGGATCTGTCCCAAATGTCAAGACCAGGTATTGTTTGATAGACAGGGAGAGTTATATACAATGCACTACAGAGATTTTATGGTGTTAAAGGAAATACCCAGATCATTTGGCTTACTTCAATCAAGACAGCCTGACACTGAACAAATCTATTTGATCTGTAATAAGGCTTGTGTGAATTTGATCAAATTACCTCTGGTGGAATGCATGCAATTACAAAACTAGGTCTTGCTCCCAGAATTGGGGTCTTTATTTGTTGCCCTTCTGTTTTTACTCTTTTTCTGGGCCAAAGCATGCAGACTTTTGGGAAAGGTTCTCTATGACCCACAGAAATTTTGTTGTTCATCTTAAGCTCGTTGTTTCTTCAAAAGTTATTAGTATATTCTTCCGGACAAATAAATAAAACATTTGCAGAAGCCTACCTCGATAGATAGAGCAAATATAAGCCCCTGTTTGCTCATATAAATCAAACACCGGAGAGGTTATCTTCAGTGATCTCTTTAATAATATCATCTAGCATCACTATAATGAGGATAGGCGAACAGTTTGGTGCCTCTTTCCAGATCCCTCTCTGAAAGTACACAATTGAAATGAACAGGTTATATTTTAATATTTTGTTTATAATTGCATTGAGATTACAAGACAAAGAAGTAAACTATCATATTCCTAACCCTTGTGTGGAACACCAGAAGTTGCAAAGGATTGCTGATAATCATCAGCCTGAAGCTGTTAGCGTTCTGTCTAATGTAGCATATTGTTTGGTTGCCCACGTGACCGTTGATTAGCCAGACGGTAATGTAAGAAAGCAGCCTGATGTCCAGTATGCTATTCAGAAGGATGAAAATGTAAAATTTGAGTGACTTGGTCAGTGGTAACAAGAGACGAGGGAGTGTTACCACTTCCCTTTTCCTGCTCTCGCCTACTCTCACCTTATCCTTCTTGTTTATTGCTGTGATAGGTTCCCACAAAATTAGGGGAAAAAAATCCTGAGTAATTTTACTCTAAAGTGACCGAGTCCTCTATGTTCTGAGACACCCCTCTGATTCATTAATTAAAAATATATGTCTTTCCTCTCAAAATACAATTTGTTAGGAATGAATATGTAGGAAGGATCTGAAGGACATAAATGGTGCTTTCCCTTATAAAGAGAGTTTGACAGCTCTATTAAGATGATTCTGATAAGAAGGGGAGATAGGACGGTTTCATATTTTACTAGCCAGGAAATGCGGTGTTTGAATGTGTGGTGTGGAGACTGTTCTGTGCCATGAAAACTTTTCTCCCAGAATGACTAAGATCAGCAATTTGTCTGAACTATGAAATAATGTTTATGTCTCCTGGCAAGTCTGAGTTCAGATATGTTATCCTTTCATTCCTCTTTTAAGTTGTTCAGTTTATATTAGTAGACTATTTGTGGCTATGGAGGGAGTTTGAGAAAATGCTGACATTTGTAAGAAACGAGCCTGCTTTGTGGGAGCCACAATACAGTTGTGAATAATTCCCTCTGTTAAGTCTCAGAACAAGGCTGTGAAGCTTCATGTTATCAGGGCTGAGGCTAATGATAGCCATAAAAGAAAATCCTCGGTCTTTCTCTCTGGCTCTCTCCTTTTTGCTTTCTTAGAGGTAAGTTGTGTACGAGCTAAATCTCTGAACACTTTTCTTTCAGATGCTAAAGAAGGAAGAAGCAATCCCATGGCCAGGAACTTTAGCAATTGTTCATTCATATATTGCATATAAAGCAGGTAGGAAAATGGAGAACAACACTTTTGTTTCACTTCTAATAATGGAAGATGTTATTTCAGGAATGGGATAGAATGGTACTTCCTTGACAAAAGGAAATTAAAGGGGAAGAACCTTAATCATTAGTAAAATGAAAATAGTATTTGTTAAGCCTTCTGTGATGCTTGTGTATGTAGGTGAAGTTTTGGGGGTGGTGTAGTGCACAAGTTGTTGAATTGACTTTAAACACAGTTACTCTCTTTACATGAAACAGTTTAGACCCTCTATCTGCTGTTGTAACAGGAACATTTTAAATATTATGATTAATATTCTATTTTGCAGCAAAAGAAGAGGAAAAACAGAAACTACTTAAATGGAGTTCAGATTTAAAACAGGAAAGAGAACAACTAGAGCAGAAGGTCAAACAGCTCAGCAATTCTATAACGGTGAGCATTGCCCTCCCTAATAACTCTGCACCCGGGTTCTGGTGCCAGAACGCAGAGAGAAAACTATAGAGTGACTCCATGTACTAGACCTGTCTTCCACTGGATTTACTGAGAATTGAGTGAGCGCTTTTTCCTTTGCTATTTAGGACTTTGGGGAACAGGAATGAAATACAGGCAACATATACTTACATTGAGTCACTTACACATGATCCATGCTGGCCATGTATTGTAGACGTACAGTGATCTATAATATCAGCAGGTGACAAACATGACCCAGAGCATTATTGTCTGTGGGCAGTAGATTAAGTCAGATTCTCCAGTGGCTCACTTAAATAAGAATGGTTGGGCCTCCGTGTGTAATAAGAGTCTTGGTGCGCTTTCCAGACCTTCCTAATACGAAAGTGACCGTTTACTCACAACTGACTCTCAGACTCTTGACATGTTGCCCTGGCAGTTAGCAGCTGGGCACTGTGCATGCTTCTGCATAATATTAATTAGATGATGGCATACTTTGAACCAGAAGCTGTAGTTTGCACCTTAGTTTATCTCAGTAATTGGAGCACATATATTAATTTGCTCTCTATTCTCACCTTAATATGCAAATCGGGCTCTTGAGTTCCCAGTGTAAAATTTATGCCCCTCTCTGAGCGTAACCCTAGCCAGTATCACAGAATGTAAAACAGTGAAATCTCTTGTGTGGCAGCATCTGTAAAGCTGGATACGTAAGTACAGACTTTTCAAATACAGATGCACTTTCTGGTCTGCCTGTCTTTACCTATTAGAACCGAAGTAAGTGTCCCGTGTTTATAGACCCCTAAAAGCTGATGATACAAATAAAACGATGGTGAGCAGACAAGTGGTGAGAGGTGCTAGTTAGCAGTTCGGGAGACTGTCATCTTCTGGTTAGCAGTAGCTGGCCATAACCTGAGCAGCACTAGAGCGCTGTTTCTCAGTGATGTACTGAGGCAGACGCAAGCCCTTAACATGAGGGATTCACGGTAGGTAAGGAGAAAGCTTTATTTTCTATGATCAGGTAATTGTTTATACTTCCATTGGAACTGCCAGAAAAAGACACATTAGGTCTAAATTTTGTGGTGCTTTTATGATGCCACGAGCTGCGTGTGAAAATAGTAAAGCTGAAACCAACAGTGTCTGCAGATCAGCGTGGATAAAAGGTGTAAAAAATGTAGGAAAGTTCCCATCTTCGTGTAAGAACCCGAATGTTACAGACATAGCTACCAGCTCCTCCTTTATGAGAGTTTCAAATATAGATATAAGCAGTTTTTCACCCTTAAAACATAATTTGTGGGCTTTTTTTAAAGTTATCTTACCCTGACTCTTAACTGATGAGCTAGCTAGGTTACTACTGCTTCTAAGAGAAAAAAGTGGTCACAAAATAAGATTTTCAAGTGAAGAAGGGCTTCTTTTTCTTTTCAAGTGCCCCTTTATTTATTGAGAGGAGGAAGTGATGTTCCTGCTAAAATGTACGTGAAAGCAAAGGCTGTATCCCATTAGTGGCATGCACACACACTGTCAGCAGTCAGCTGCAGTAGGATGCCTGAGTTTGCAGATCTGAGCTAAAGAAATTTCAGCAATGCAATACTAATAGAAAAAATAATAAGAACATATACTTGGAAGTTTCCCTTCAAAGGGAACACGAAAGGATGGAGCTGTGTTCGTTTGCAAAGCACCTTGGGATGAAAGGGGGCCATACCAGGTGACAGCTACGTACTGGCAATTTAATTCCTCAGCCTGCAAACAGGAATTCTCCTGTGAACACAGCCCCAAGACTCTTTTTCTTCTAGGCTGGGGAAGTGAAATTGTAGCTGCAGTCTTTTCTGCGTGCTTACCTTTAGATCTGTGAATATCGTTTTCCTTCTCTTACCTTCTTTCATTCATAAGCTTGAACTTATTACTGCTTTTCTGTTTTGCTGCAGAAATGCATGGAAATGAAGAATACCATCCTTGCAAAACAGAAGGAGATGCACAGCTCCTTGGAGAAGGTAAAACAGCTGATCCGCCTCATCCAAGGCATCGACCTTTCAAAACCCATAAACTCTGAGGTCAATTCAGTAGCCATCTCCAACGGCATGGACTCCACTAACAATACTAATGCTGCCACCTCCACCTTAGCCCCCTCCCCTTCCCAGAGCTGCATGGTGAACTGTAACAAGGGCGATGAGACTAAATAACACAGTGAAGTTAAGAAGGAGCCAAGGGAGGTGGCGGCGAGGAGGAAGAGCAAAATAACGAAACTCTAGAAAAGCAAAACTGGATTTCTTCTGGAAAGTGCAGAATTCTTTAGTTCTTTGATTCCAGAGAGAGCGTGAAGATGCTTGTGCCAGGCGGCACCGGAGTTTGCCAATTGATCCTTCTTATTCTGTGTGTTAATGCAAAGTTTGGACCATGTTACATGAATAGTGCCAGCTGGGGGTTCTTTGCCAGCACCATGCCAAGTGAAATAATATATTTACTCTCTCTATATTTTACACCAGTGTGTGCCTGCAGCAGCCTCCACAGCCACTATAGGTTTCTTTTATTTTTGTTTGGGGTGAGGAGCAGGGATGAGGGAGGAGAGCAGGTTTCAAATCCTTATTTGCAGAACAGTTTGTTTAGCTAGGGGAAAACAAAAACAAGTCCAAAGAGCCTGTGGGCTTTTCCTGTTTCTAAACTCTCAGTACTATTAAACCAAAAACCCAGAAATATAAATTATCAAATCCCAGTGCCCAGAAGGGACAAGTCTATCAAATAAGCAGTATTTACTATTGTTTAGACAGGAGACATACAAAAGGAAAGGAAATGGACTTTTCACTGAGTAACCAGCACATATACAGGCTGAGGATCTACTGTCCCAACAGCTTTGGGTTAATCCTGTTTCTTCACATTAAACAACAGACATGCTTTGCAGAGTTGGTTTGGGTCCTCACACTCATCCAGAAAGCCTATGTTGGGAATGGGAAAATAGAGGGCCAGAATCCAGGGTCAGCTTGGAGCATTGGATGGAGGTGTCCCGAGAGAAAGTGTGCATCAATTACTTGAAAATGAGATCCCAACACTTTTCTATAAACAACAAAGGTATCCTGAACAAAGTAGCACATGACCCAGACGTGTGAACTGAACAGAGAAATGTCCTTTTCTTTCACTTCCTTTCTCTTCTTTTGGTAACAAGAACTAAATAAGAAATAGAAAAGCTGTTTTTCAGGCTGACAGTCTAATTAAAGAGGTAGATGGGACCTTGCATGGTATAGATTAGAAGTAATAGTGTCAGTGAGATACAGTGAGTCTTTGTGAGTCCTTGTGTCATCGTTTTGGGCACTGTTTTTTTATGCAAGGGCAAAATCTTTGTATCTGGGGGAAAAAAAAAAAACAAACAACTTTTTTAAATTAAAAAGGAAAATAAAAGATATTGAGGTCTTCCTAGTGTTACTTAAAATAAGATCAAGGTAAGAAACATTGTAAAAAAAAAAAAAATACAAAAGTGCTATTTGTTTCCTAAACAAGTGATTTCTATTAAAAAGGTGTCAGAACTGGAGAAAATGCTGTGTACTTAGAATTTTTTAACACAGACTTTGCTTATTTATGATGACATTCTGCTGTGTTTGTGTTTTAAAATCCAATGGGACAGTTTCCATAGATTATACCATACATGCTATTGGCTAAACTCTAAAGAGAATCAAATCCTACAGTGCTGGATCTCACCGCACCTGGAGGATCTGCCAGGCTTGTCTCTGCTGTTGCCATATCTCCCCCATTCTTTCATGCGTTTGTAACCCAGAGAAAAGCAGTTGGCAGCGTGCTTGTTTAAGGGTTTTATAGTTTTGTGATACGGACTGATTAGAGCTTGAGAATGAAAGACAGTGAGTTGGCTGAACTGAAATCACTCTCTGTTATACCCTCTTGTTTAAGGAGTTCATCTCTTTCGCATAATCTTTTCACTCTAGATAGCAAAGCTTGCCTTGTGCTTCCTGTTATTGTGAGGTCTGTCTCAGTTTACAGTGTTGATTCTGGTCACTTAGGGTTGTGTCCCAGATCTGCCTAGTGTCACTACTGCACATAAACATTTGGGCAAACCCCGCTTCCACTGGAAGTACTGGGAAAAGTCCCTTTACTTCCAGTGGGAGCAGAGTCGAGCCACTACACACACACACACACAATGTGAGGCAGAGGCCCTGGTGCGGTGCCCTTGAGAGCGTGTGTTGGGTGGTGAGCCAGACCTGCTCGGCTGTTTCTAGTGGAAGATAGAAAAGCTTTGGATCTCAAGGATGTATTTCTGAGCAAGAAGTGAACACTCCAGACACTACATAACCTGAGAGAGTCTCTTTGCTGCCACAGCCAAGTACGCTTCTGCGGGATTCTTGGAGCTGTTTTCTTCCCTCTCCTTTAGGTTGCCCTTCTGCCCTTTATTAAGGACTTTTATTCCTCCTGCAGGAGTGTGCACTATTTTCAGCTCTGAGCTCAGAACTGGCATTCAGAGTTCTCACATTTGTCTGTAGTTGGGAAAGTGACTCTTACGTGCACTTCTCAGCTGAACCTGTGATAACCTCGACTCTGTCTTTTGATGTTTGAGTTCTGTTCTGGAACTAGGGGAGCTGGAGGGGTAAGATAGCACAGGTGGCAGGGAGACAGCTGGGCAGGCGACGTCAAAACTGATCAAACTAAAAACGGCCTTGCATCAACCCAGTTACCAGTGGGGGTCATTACCACAGTGCAGCACTGGGCCAGCAACGTGTAACATTTAAACAAGGGACTGTATTTCAAGGGATGAAGAGGAAAAACAAACTGATCATGAGCCTTCTTTCTTTAGAATATGAGCCAGCAGCTAACGGCCAGATACTCGGGAGAAAGTGCCATTTTGGCGAGGTTATTCTCTAGTTGGCCACTAGGGTAAACCTTAACATCATTTTCTGAGGCATCGAGTACGTTCCTGGATAGGTGCGCTGAGTCTTTGTGATTCCCATGTTCTTATTTCTAGTGTTCAGAGCTCTCTGGGAAGCACCACACTATTTGGGGATAGCAAGCTATGCCTGAAGACTTGATAGCCCTTGTGTTTTCTTTGCCAGTTCAGGAGGGGATGGAAGTGAAATACACTGGTAGCCATATTTAAGTTTGAGTGCAGTTAACCAGCTAGGACATGTTAAAAGAGCTATTACTGCTTTTCTGAGGCATCTGCTTGTCTCCAGAATCCAAGTAGAGAGGTATAGACTTTTATGTCCCTTTTGTTCAGCATTTGTGTTCCAGACTGTAAAAGGATGCCTTTAGTTAATCATTACCTGTCAGAGAAATTATCTTAACTTAGACTTTTTGATGCTGCTAAGTAGTTTTCCCCCTCTCTCCCACTGATCCTCTTTGGATGCTTTCCGTCCTGGCTCTGCAGTGGCATCAGTCAATAGACAAGGAGCATTCCCAGGGCTGCACTGACACTGGCAATGATGCTGCTACATAGACACAAATAAATTGGGGTTATCTCTGCCTGATTAGCAATACCAGGGTGCAAGAGGAATTGGCATTTGCTAAATACAGAGGAACTTTTTTTTTCCTAGCTGCTCTAAGAGGTTCCAGGCAAAGGAGAAATTTAAACTCTTGACAACTTAAAGCTCAAGCTTGTCTTCTAGGTTTGGGTTGATCTGTTTTTTTTTCTCATGTAATGTTTGAGTTAGAGTGAGTTTGTACTAAAACTTCTGCTCTTTGGGAAGCTGACATAATGACTGGCGTTTTGTATTTCCAAACCACCATCAAGATATTAACTAATTCTTATGTCATTGCTTGTCATTGGTGGGAAATAAGTGGCTTTTAAATCTCTGTTATAAAGGAGGAGATGAGACCACAGAGGAAGCTTATACCAGAGACGGTCCTGGCTCTCAGCCCAGTGCTAAGGGCTTTAAGAAGTCACCCTGCTTCTTTGGTCAGAAATAGAGCAAGCTTTGCAGAAGTAGTTTTTTCCCTTCTCCTTGCAATCTGTTCTCTAAACAGCTGGAAAGGTGTGTTGTGGTCAGAGTGGGAAAGTGAGCATACGACCTGGCTAGAAGAATTAGTATTATCCTCATTGCCTCCATTTAGAGCCAGCAGCGGTTTTAGTGCTGTACAAAATGTGATAAAGGCAATGCTGCTAGGGATGACTGGCAGGTGGGGTGAGTAGCACGGATGATTCTTCGAGGACATCATTAGCCAGGAGTTGCCATGTTGGTAGGAGGAACTAACGGTTTGCATGAGCAAAATAAGGACTTTGTTGCAAGCAAGTCTCTGTCCATGGGGATATGAATTAAAAGCCATTAACCTAGAAATTAAAGAGGTGATAGTTTTATGGGCAGACCTGTTGGTTTTGTTGTTGGTAGGAAAAACAATATCGTATTTTATCCTTCCTAGCTGACCAGGCTTAAGAAAGCAAATCTGTATTCCAGCTGTCTAGAAATGTGAACCCTAATTGTGACGTCCTTGGCTTCAAATCATCTTCATCCCTGTACTGTTGCAGAGACAGCCCCGAAAAGCAGCATGGTCAGCATTGAGGAGAACCCAGAGTGAAACCTCCCTCTTAGCCCCACCAGGCTGTGGCAGCCCACAGTATAGGGAGTAAACTAAAATTCCCTTCCCATGTGGATACAGTGGAAAATATTTGTGAATTTGCAGTGCACATGTTTCTCTCTCTTTTTTTTTTCCCCAGCTGGGTTGCACCCTGCCATCTTTGCTTCTGAAACACTAATGTTGAATACATGTTTTTTTAATAAAACATGCTTTTAAAATATCATATTCAGATGTCAAACCAAAATTCACTCTTTTACTGAGGGCCTGTCTTGTTGAGCTGCTCAGATAACCACTGAAATAATTCCTTGTGGACCATGCCCCTTTGGGCAGAATTTGTTGTGTCTTCTCAGAACTGTTTTGACCCTTCTTCACCTCCATTTGTCCTTCCTTGGGATTCTGAAGATCCAGGGCAAGTTCAACCTTGCTGGGTTACTGCAGAGAGTTTTGTGACAAGTGTGTAGAAGAAGAGTCAGGAACCTGGAGAAAGAGGAAGATGTTTTGTCGTGCAGCTAATTCATTTGGCGCTTAGGCTTGCCTGGCCAACAAACTACCTCAGCAAAGGCCATCCCCAAGCACTATGTGGATTCTGTAGTTTCTGGCATTCAGAAGGCAAGAGGTCTCTCAAGAACCCTTCCAGCAGCCAGCTAGGTCCTGGTCTCTGAGAGCACGCGAGCAAGCCTCGCAGTGACACACCGGTGGATTCTTGGTTTCAGTGGTCAGACCTGGACCAGGGAATGCCCTAAAAATCAGGTGGGATCAGGAAAACACAAGAGCTGCAGACATCTTGTCTCCAGGTGATTGCCGTCTTACTCAGATCCTTCTTTAAGCCTCAGTCCTGTTTGTAACACCTACAGAATGGAATGTAATACTTGAAAAATATGACTCTCTTTCTCCTTTACCTTTAGCTCCCATTTCTCCCGTGTTTATCTTTTATCTGGGACAAAAACTTTCTGCATCATTGTGTCTTGTATAGGCTGAGCACATAGTTGAAACTTGCCAATAAAGAAAATTATTTATACCATGCACTGGTAAGCTTGGTAATTACAGACCCATGAAAAGACAAACACCTCTCCTAGAGGTTAATTTAAAATGTGGGCTTGTTTCAGAAAACCAAGACCTTACCTGTGTGAGGGTCTGTCTCTATCCCCTGTCAGTATTACTAAACTACCTGAGTAGTGAACAGCAAACAGGCCTGCCGAGAGCATCGGTGCTGTGAACATCTCTGTGTGAGTCCCTGGAGTGTGTCGCACGAGAGCAGCCAGGCCAGGGCTTCTCACCACTCACCCCCCCTCCCCGCCCCGGGCCAGATCTGCGTGCTGCAGGGACAAAGGAAAGGACAGAAGCCTCTTTCGAGAAGCAAGGGCAGTGAGAAGGGGTATGGGGCTGGAGACTGGAGAAGAGAGGAAGTGGGAAGAGCAAAGGAAATTAAAATTGTGTGAGGTAAAACAGAGCAGAGAGAAGAAATGGAAAGAGATGGGAAGGAGGGAAAGCAAGGGTAGGAAAAATCCAGGAGTGAAACAGGGCTCTCTTGTGAGAGACAGGTATTGCTGAAGTTGCAGGCTCTGAAAGTTCAATGGAAAGACTAGAGCAAAAAGGCTCATTATCCTACCTCGGTTTCTGGTCTGGGGTGATCTGTATTCCAAAAGGACCAAGTGTGGTGGGAGAAAAGAGCTGCTTGGCAGCAGAGTGGGAATGAAGTGGCACTAAGTCATCCCTAGCTCTGCTTCTGGTGCCAAGTGATCCCATCCTGACGAGAGCCGCCTTTGACTTCTCTGCTACGTGGGATAAGGCTGATCAAGCAGACCTTGTGGAGCAGCCAGAGCCCACTCTGATCTGGACCACATTAATTAAAAATTTTCTGGGCTAGAAATACTCCTGAGACTAGCTAAAGGTTCGGCTGTGCCAGTGTGGTCACAGCTTCCTAGTTCAAGTGTCACCATCAGTCTAGTTGAAACCAGCATCAGCTTCCAGAGCCCTCAGCCCCGAGTGAGTGGAGGAGATGACGCCAGGCAGGACCTGTCACTCAGGTACTTCTCAGCCATTTCTTGGAGTATCTGTGCAAGATTCCTGCTCTGTCACATCTGGCAGTTGTGTGCCAAAACGCCTCTGTGCAGCAGTGCCTCCCTGTTTTCTTAGGATCTGGTTTCTTTAGGGACACATGCAAAGGGGCGCTTCACCCGTGCAGGTAGGCAGAGCCATGTGGTGAGCTCAGCGTAGCCCTCCAGGAGCTGAGGGTAGCATCAAGGCTACATTAAGCAGTAGCACACAGGGCACCCTCCTGGGAGAATGGCTGTCCCAGCTCTCGTGTGTTAGCAGGTAGTAAGCTCTGTGTCTGTTCTTCTTCACTCCCTAGTACCCAAGCAAGTGTCAAATGCTTCAGACAGAGAAACTCAGCCCAGTCCCTGTCTTAGGAAGGAAGAAGTACTTAAGGGCATGTTTACTGTCATCAGGAGTGCCGAGGGAACTCAAAAGCCTTGGAAGCTTGGCTCCTGGGTGGAGGAGGTGGCACGGAAAGGCAGGAGCAATGAGCAGTATTGGTCTGCTGGCGCTCAGCTCAGCAGAGTTTTCACCACCTGGGGAATCTTAATCTTTTTCCTTTATCCTAAATTTACACCAGCAAATGTAGACCTCGACCAATTCCTGCCCCTTTGTCGCCTGCCGCCTTTTAGCTGCATCGCTGGAAAAGAAATGAACTACTGTTGCCTCTGAGCTGTGAGTAAGCCCTTTTCTCAGTGAGCAACTGGAACGGTGTTGGAGGTGTAGCTCAGGTGGGGAAGGGAGGCAGTGGCAGACACAGGTCCCAGCGCTGGCACGGGCTCAGCGCCAGCCTTGGTTTTGGATCCCAGGCACTGAGGGTTGATACTGCAGCAGCACTGGGACGACGCTGTGCACGTGCAAGCACGGGCAGGGGCTCCCCTTGCTTGATGTCCTGCTCTTGGCCTCCCAGGTGGGGTGTGCCAAAATTGAAGGGAGAGGAGGGCACTTATGTAAAAAAGAAAGCAAGCAAGCCCTCCGTGTCTTGCATTCCCTTCTGTAGAGCGGGTACTGGCAGTTCTGACATGGCGAGAGCTGTTTTTTGTGGGCTGCGGGCACCCGGGAGCAGGCGCTGTTGAAAGAAGAGGTACAGTCGTGCTCCGTGCTGGGTGCGGCAGGAGGCTGCTTGTTTCTGCTTGATCTGGGCTAATGTGTAATTTCTAATGATAGTCTCATACGTTTCTTTAATTATCACTGGCATCAAAACAGTGACTGACTCTAGAGCCAGGAGTAGTGTCTCACCTGTCAGCTCTCCCTTCCAGAAGGTACATTGTCTCAGAGTCGATCCTGATGCCACATGTGACAGGCAGCAAAGACCCTCCTTAAGGAAGGTTTTTGCTACCATGTGAGCCCTGAGGCTGGGGCAGCTTCCTAGCAGCCCCACACAACCAGAGCCAACAGGCAGCCATGTCTCATGAGCTGCTTTGCTCCAGTTACAGCTGCAGGGCCCCCCCCAAGAACCCTCTTACGCTGGCAGAGACATCTTGGCCGCTTCTCATAGTCCCACAGAAGCAAAGCACGGGTTGCAAACTCCAGTAATCAAAGATGAAGCAAGATAACGGGGGAGATTGCTAGTGCCAACCTGTTCAGGCTCCTGCAGAGGAAGGAAACAACTTTGCTGCATCAACAGCAGCGGAGCCTGTGGCGCAGAGAAGCGATGGTGAGCTGCTGCTTGCCTGGGGTTCTGGTGCAGCAGTGGGGTGGCTTCCCACGCGGTGTTTTGTCTTTTGGGGGCTGACCGGCTCTAATCTGCAAACACCCACTGTGTCGTCCGCAGCCGAGGTCGGGCGGGTCGTGAAGGCAGCTCTGCTTGAATAGAAAAAATACTCAGGCCGCGATCACGGCTTCACGTTCCTGCCATCGTGCTGGCACCACCTCAGTAGACTTGTTGCTACCACCACCCCGCCTGCGTGCCCTGCTTCGTCCCGTCCCCCCACACCCCAGCGTTTCACCTGAGACCAAGCTGTAAAGCGAGAGCCCTGGCTTGGGGTCGGACCAGGAGCTGATGCTGAAGGGTGCCGTGGCCGAGCCCCGGTCCCTCCCCAGCCTGCCCAACTTCTCCAGGTGCTTTTGGTGGTGACCCCCCCAGTTCTGGCAGTGCAGCCCCCCTGCAGCCGCGGGCCTGGTGCTGCGAGGGGATGGTGGCAGCTTCTCTCCTGGCCGGGTTTCCACACGGCGAAGCCACAGCTCTGCCCTCGGTGAGCCGGTGCTGCCCGCGCTGCCCCTCTCCCCACCCGTCTACTGTCCTTGCAGGCCCTGGTGTAAAATGCCCTTTCTGACTGGTAATGCTCTGTTGTCACAGAATCACATCATGAGAACGCCGACTTGTGAGCTGGTTTGGGTTTTTTAAATATCTCTATTTTTTTTAGCCTGATGCTCATAGTGATCTGCAGTCTCTTTGCTGCCTTCAAGTCCCTTGTGGTTTCAGTTTTGGTACATTTGTGTTTAGATTTTAGCAAATTAAAGTTGGGGGGGGAGGGGGTACAGATCTGATCAATTTGTATTTATTTATTTTAACATTTTACTAAATAAAACACAATAAAATCTCTTGTCTCCTTAGCTGTATGTACCAGGTGGGGACAGCAGGTCACACAGGCACAGGGGACAGCACGGTGCCTGCAGAAAGTCCCCCGACCCCGGGAGGGGTTTCTGAGCGTGGCTTTGCTTTATGTGATGGCCATGGCCCGCTCTAGCTCGAGGCTTGCTTGCTTGGCAGGGAGAAGGGTGTTGTGTTTGTAGAAAGGAATTTTAGCTTTAAAAGGGGCTCTGACTCACTGGTTGCCTCCAGCTGATGCTGCCCGGCAGAGGGCACATGGAGACCAAAACCGAGCTGGGATTATGCCAGGCACCTACCACATGGCCTGGCACATTTTGGCCTAAAGACGGTCTAGGCCGGGAAGTTATCTGCAAATGATGGCACACAGGCCTCCTGCTATAGCCACAGCAGTACACCTTCCAAAAAACTGCAGAGCCAGCGTTTCTCTAGCTGCCTGGCCATCAAAGAAACGCCCAGAAGAGGCCTGCTCCATCCTGGCACTGCTCCACCACCATGTCTCTAGCAGAAAACAGGCTAAACTAGTGTCGGGATCTGATCTAAACCTGTCTTGTCACTTAGTGCAGAAGCAGAGCGATATCGGTGAGCCCTGGCTGTACTAAACAAAAGCTGCCTGCTAGGGACCGGTCAGGTGGAGCTGCTCCTGCCTTCACGGTGGTTAGCAATGTCTTCCCAGCCCTTTCCCAAATAAAGCTTCACAACTTGCTCCTGGCATCCTCCCCTTGTCCTCCCGCCCTGCAGATGCGAGGCTGGCAGCTCGTGTGGCCTAAGAGCCAGATTTTATTCCCAACAGTCTTGTAAAGCAAAGGGGGAGTCCTGGTCGGTCCCGTTGCGTGTCATGGCCAGAGCTGCAGGCGAGGGGAAGGCCCTGCGGGTCACGGCGCAGCGGCCAGCTCAGCACGCTGGTCTCAGGGATGAGCAGCAGCACCGCCAGAAGAAACCACATCTCCTGGGATGTGATTCAACTGTCTACATGTCTAAGCCATGATGCCTAAGCCATGGAGCCCCAGCCTCCAGTTAAAGGGTGCTGGTGCTGGAGAGAGGCTGCGCCGCCGCCCAGGCTGCCAGTCCTGCTGCAGCGCTGGGACCCGGCAGCCTTGGTGCCACCAGAGTCAGCCACCGCCAGCTGTTTCGGAGCTGGCAGGGGTGCGGTGTGCCTGCCACTCGCTGACACGGGCATTTCTCTTGCCTGCTGTTGCTCCCTGTTCCCCAGCCCTCCTGCTGTGACAGCCAGAAAAGCAAAAAAGGCTTCAAACATGCCAGGCAGAGCAAGGCCAGCGTTGCATTTCCCCAGCCAAGGCTCTGGCTACCCCTGTATTGCTCTCCCTCCAGATGACATGTGCACGCTCACGGCAGAATAACCAGGCAGTTCTAACACCGATGTGAAAAAGAATAAAAAAGCTTTAATTTAAAAATTAAATTAAAAAGAGAGAATAAGCAAGAGGCGCTTGTGCCCTTTCCATACCCCGCGCTTTGTATGGCTCCTCATGGACGGAAATCCTCACACCTGCACAGAGCTGGCTCTTGCAGCCCAGAGTAACACAAAGGAGAGAACAGCAGCGACGGCAGCAGCAACTGGCCTGGAGAGCCTCCAGGGCCACCAGCAAAATCATCCGGGAGGAAGAAAGAACTAAAAAAAAAAACAAAACCTAACCCAGGCACCCTAATCATTTAACTCTTATGGGAAAAGTATTAAATAATTTAAATAGCGTGAGGAAAGCAATGCATCCTCTGTGCTCCAGTGTGTGATAGCGGTGGAACAGTGCCCGGCCCAGCTGCTCCCAACATGGGGATCCCACCACAGTGCTCAGCTACGGTCTTGTCCAGTGTCATCCACGTCCCTGACTGTCGATGGCAACGTCTGCGCTGCCAAGAGCAGGGGAGCAGCAGGATGGTGCCCTGTCAGGAATTTCTGCAAGCACGTGCTGGCCCACAAGGCTGCAGTTTTGCCCGTCGTGATGGTTCGCAGCCCTGCGAACGGGGCCTGTCAATGGCACAGCTGCTCCCAGCCGTGAGGCGCAGGCCCCTTCTGGGAGCTCACTGCTGGGGACAGCAGACAGCCCGTCCTGCTCTGGGCGACTCCCACAGCACTGCTACTGGGCCAACCCCACTGCAGACTCTGCATCCATGCGGATGGGGAGTAACAATATCCCTGGCCCCTGGCATGGGGAGGTTCCCCTGTAACGCAGGAAGGCTGCTGCTCCGGAAAACCCTCGGCCACGCCGCAGCAGCTTGACCCGCAGGCAGTGCCAGTTCTCGCAGCTGCCATCTTCCATCTCATTTCCGGGCATCCCTTTGCTGGGCTGGAGTGGCTGTGCTGCCGGCTCGGTTCCCCCAGGCCAGGCTGCAGTGGTGGGCTGGGGCAGGAGGGAGGCCCTGCGCCCTCCCTTCTCCAGCGTGCTGCTAGCACCCCACACCCACTGTCCCCAGGTGTCACAGGCTCCTCTCGGCGGTGAGGTATTTGAGCGCAGCAGCCCCGTACCGCCGCGACAAGTCCTGGTGAAACTCCTCCCGCAGTGTCTGGAGGCAGCCCCGGTACCCTGCACTCAGGCGAAACTTGGAGATGTCAAAGCTGGGGGCATGGGGCATGTGGATCATGAAGGCGTTGGGCAGGACCAGCAGCTCGTACTCCTGGAGGAAGAGCAGTGGCCCTGTCAGCATCGGCTTGGTGGTACCAACGGGCCACTGCCCGGCCAAGACCCCCCGGCTAACACCAGGAGCAGCCCCTCACTCACCTGAGCATCCAGCTCCATGATGTGGGACACCTTGTTCCAGCCGAAGCCCACGAACCTCTGGTCGTACTTGGGGCAGTCTCGCCTCACTACAACGTAAGGCTCGAAGTCCGGCTGCCACGCCACACGGTATGGCACGGTGGCCGTCCGCCACTTGGCATAGTCAGTTGGGGCATGGCCTTTGGGCCACACATGGTACCTACAGGGAGAGATGAAGTGAGAGAGTGGGGAAAGCCGGCAGCTCCCCAAGACAGATGGAGGATGCACAGGATCCTCTGAGCCGGCTGCCCCACAGCTCCAAGTCACAAGGGTACAAAACTGGCTTCTGCTGGGTGTGGTGGCCCCAGTGGATGGCAGGGCAGCTCCAGTCCCTACCTGAAGGTGTAGAGGGAGCCCATGTCCAGCATGGAGAGCAGCTCTGCTTTGGATTTCGGGAAGGTCAAGCGGTAGTGCAGGGTCTCGAACGCCGGCACAATGAGAGCTGCCTTCCTCCGGGGCAGCTCCAGCTGCTGGATGGAGTTCCTAGGGCAGTAGAAAGGGTGTGAGGTCTCCCTGGCTGTGAGCCGTGGCCACAACCTCCTTCCTCAGCCCCTCCAGCCTGCCCAGAAGGGCAGTAATGAGTTTGGACACTTTGCAGTGATGCCACACAGGGGCAGGAGGAATGGGGCAGCCCTCACAGCCACAGCTGCTGCCTCACCCACTGGCGTCTGACAAAAGCAAGGGCAGGATCCTGAGGTTGAGCACAAAGGCAGCCAGTTTCTGCATGTTGAGAAATGCTGCCCAGGGCATTTCCTGCAAACCCTGCTGCTTGGGGAGCCTGGCAGGCTGAGCAAGAGCCGGCTGGAGAAAGCCTTACCTGAGGTAATCGTAGAGGCCATACATAGGCAGGAAGTCAATATCTGTCAGAAAGACGTACGGCGTCTGCGTGTTGGCCAAGGCCACGTTGCGCAGGAGGTTGATGGGGTAGAACTGCCCCTCCTTGTAGACGATGTGATAGGCGACGTTGCGGCGGGTGCTCAGCACCTCTGAGGCCTGGGCATAGCGCAGGAACTGCTGAGCCTCCGCGTCCGACATGTAGAGCGCCAGGCTGATGGGGCCCGCCCAGTGTTTGCAGATGGCCTCCAACATCTGCAGCCTGTGAAGCAGAGGGCACTGGGTATGCAGGAGACCTGCCCCAAACCCAGAACTGGGCGCCTGGCAGCAAGCCGCCTGCCACCTAAGCCCAGTTCAGGGTGGAGCGGGGGGAACAGCTGCTCCCAGCTCAGGGTGTTGCTCCTCACTGCAAAGCGCTGGGGTGAGGAAGCCATGTTTCAGGATTCCTGGTAACTCCCAAGCTGCAGAGCCACCCCAGAGGAGTGGAGGCAGGATCCGACCACCCACCAGCCCCACCAGCAAGTACCTGTCCATGGAGAGCTGGGCCACAAGTGTGACGTCGGTGGGGCTGGGAAGGGCCAGGAACTCGTACTGCAGGAAGAACAGGTGGACACGGTGCTGCGTGAGGTGCTGCCGGCGGAAATCATAGCAGGGATCGTCCTCGTCCAACTCCTCCAGCGCCTGCTGCAGCTGCAATGCCGTGAAGGTGAGGGAGAGCAGGAGCCCCGCAGGGAGCTGGGGCGGCTGCACGGGGGTCTCTGCCCCCCCCCAGGCTCCAGGGCTGGGGGCAGAGCCGCCATCACCCTCACCTGGTCGCTGGGCGGGTGGGGGAGGCTGGCACAGCCGAAGAGCTCCCTGCGCAGCAGGTTCCCGTCGTACTCCAGGAAGGTCAGGTAGAGGTTGCGGAAGAACTCCACGTGCTTGTTCTTCACCCGTAGCTTCTTGGGTGAGTTCCAGTGGATCACCTGAGGGCAGTGGTGTGTCACCTCGGGGAGGAAAAGACAGCAGCTCCCAGGGCTCCCCCAGGCCCCCAGAATTCCAGGGCCAGCACTGTCCTTAGGCCCTCACCCGCCTCAAAGGCAGCAAACCCACTGTTCTGGTTCCAGCTGGGATAGAGTTAATTTGCTTTTAGTAGCCAGTACAGTGCTGTGTTTTGGATTTAGTGTGGGAATAATGCTAATAACACACTGATGTTTTAGTTGTTGCTGAGCAGTGCTTATCCTAAGTTAAGGATTTCCCAGTTCCCCATGCCCTGCCAGCAAGGAAGTGGATAAGAAGCTGGGAGGGAGCACGGCCAGGACAGCTGACTCCAACTAACCAAAGGGCTATTCCATCCCATAGGGCATCATGCTCAGTGAGTAAACTGGAGGCAAGTTGGCCAGGAAGGTGGATTGCTGCTCAGGGACTGGCTTGGACATCAGTCAGTGCGTACTGAGCAACTCTGTTGTGCATCACTTGTTTGGCTTATTTTTCCTTTAGTTTTATTGTCTCCCTTTTAGTAATATCCCTTTTATTACTATTATTATTATTATTACTATTCTATTACTATTGGTTTATTTTATTTATTAAACTGTTCTCATCTCAACCCACGAATTTTACTTTTTTTTTCCAATTCTTCTCCCCATCCCACTGGGAGCAGGGAGGAGTGAGCGAGCAGCTGCATGGCGCTGAGCTGCCAGCTGGGCCTAAGGCACGACACCCACCCACCTTGAGATCGGAGACCTCACTGTAGCACTGCTCTGAGCGGGTGTGATCCGAGAGCTGCACGTTCCAGAAGCAGGGGAGCCGGTACACCAGGGCCGGGTCCTGCTTGATCACCGCGTTAAAGATGTCCTAGGGGAGAGAAAGGCGAGCGCATGGGCAAATGAGGAAAACAGCATGTCCCCCCCGCCGCTGTGCCAGCAGCGCTATGGGAACGCAGCAGGGCCGACCACCCTGGAGGAGGAGGGACTGGTGGTTACCTGATCGGCCAGCGAGGTGGAGAGCATGCTCATGAGCTCCCGCTCCGCCGTCAGCCGCCACATCTGCTCCCAGCCCAGGCGACGCAAGCGGTCGAGCAGGAGCAGGATGACCCCTGGGTGCCAGGGAGGAGTGCACTGGGTCACCGAGGGAGCACCCAGCTGTTACAGAGCTGGAGCACAGCAGCCCACAATGCCTTCGGCCCCTGGGACATGTCACTTCTCTGCACCCTCCCACAGCCGGGACGCTGTAGCAGCCCCCTTGTGCCCACCAGACTCTCCTGCCTCACCTCAGCCTTCCCCAGCCTCCTCGTGCCAAGTGACACCTCTCCTGGATGCACCATCAGCTGCAGGGCCCACCCCGGCAGCCCACACTCACCCGTGTTGAAGCCACGTCCCAGGGCCGGCCACGGTTTGTGGTTTTTCCACAGGTTGCCCAAATACCAGTCGCTCTGGTTCTCCACCAGCCCAATCACCTGCTTGTCTGAGGAAACAGAGGGACACGGATGCAGCCCCTCTCACTGTAGGTTCAGTGGGCCTGAACAACCCCCCTGTGCTGGTGCTGTGGCAGACACGGACTGCCACCCTGAGGCCAGCACCCAGGGCCCTGCCAGGGCCCCAGGAGCACCCTGTCCTCACCAGAAAACTTCCCGAAGACAGCCCAGAGCTCAGCGATGTCAGTGGCAAAGGTGATGTCAGTGTCCAAGACAATGACCTTGGAGAGGTTGGAGGGCAGCGCCTTGGTAAGCGTCAGCTTCATCAGCCCATAGATGCCGGAGTAGTGCTTGTTGGGGATCCACGACACCTCCGGCTGCAAGGTGATGTGGCCTCAGGTCTGGGCACGGCCATGCCCTTCCCTGCCCAGGCAGGAGCCCAGCAGAGAGGCACAACAGAGCACGGAGCCAACCGAGCCTGGGGCATCTCCTCCAGCTGCACCGCTGGTAGCCACACACCTCTCTTCCCAGGCCCTTCAGGCACCTACTGGCTGCATTTCCTCCTTTGCTCTCACCCTGGCACAGCTCTTCCCCCAGCCACCAGAACACCCCCTGAACCCCAGCATTTCAGTGCTCAGTGGGGGACCCAGCTCTGCCACAGAGGCAGTGCTACCCCAAGGGGCCTTCCCATCCATCCAGCACCAGCCCTGCAACCCTCTTCTCAGCTGGGCCAGCAGCAAGTCCAGAAAAGGGAGCAGGTGAGAGAGGGACCAAGAGAAAAAGTAAATAAACCCCTTCCCTCTTGCTCGCCCCTCTCTGCTGCTCCCCTCAGCCCTCCAAGCACCGGGTTGGGACAGGGCAAAGGGGGTGCAAGTGCCTGCCTTCAAGTCATCGGCGTTGTAGAAGCTGACATGGACAGAGGGCACCATCCAGGACTGGAAGAGCGTCTGGAGGATCTGGTGGGCCACCGAGTCCGTGATGAAGTGAAAGTGGAGAGGGTTCTTCCTGCCAAGGGCAAGCGCAGCAGCACTCAGTGCCACAGGGGGAGGAAGAGGACATGGTTCCCATCCCTCCCACCCCTGCCAGGGGACAGACATCAGCCGAGGGGGCAGACAGCAAAAAAATCAGCCATCTGGGGGAAACAAATCCCCCTCTGACCTCAGACCTGTGGCACAGAGGGTAGAGAGAGGCTCTAGAGCCCCTCTGCTGCAGCACTGTCCCCCCTGCAGCACTCAACTGGGAACTCCAAACCAGCGGGCCCTCTGGCACAGCACCTCCCCATTACCTGTGGAAGAGGATGGATTTCACCAGGGTGACCACATCCCGGCTCGCGTTGTGCCCGGCGCACACAATCGCAATGTGTAGGAGCTGCCCAGAGACAAACAAGACCTTTTTGAGACTGGACACCCCTCGCACAGGGGCCTGTCAGCTCTCCCCTGGGGCCATGCTATGGGGAGAGACTCCATAACCCAGCCCTTCCCCTGGAGAGGGAGCCCTAGAGAGTGGTGGGAGGCTCACAAGTGGGGACCAGGGGTCTGGCTGCCATTCCTCCTATCTGGCCTCCCTCTCTGGAGAAGCAACGACACCCTCACCCACTGACCGTGGCCTGCTGAGCACCACAGAGAGCCAGGATGATGCTCCAGCACAGCCAGAGCACAGGGGCAGCAGCGCTGGGTGGGTTGCACACACATCCGTGCCCAGCCAGGGTCCCAGCCCCCCATCCCACACCCCCCACGCCACCGGGCCGGTGCCATCGCCCACCTCACACTTGTGCACTGTCCGCTGCTTGGGGCAGGCAGTGCGGTTGCTCCTCTCGCCCCCGGGGGAGTCCCCTTCCTCAGCGGAGGTCCCCCACTGCGGGCTGCCGTCGCTGCCCTCCGCCTGCGCCTGGCTAAGCTGCATGCGGAGCTGCTGGTTCTCCTCCTCCACCCTGCGCACCCGCGAGGCCAGCGCCTCCCGCTCCACGTCCCGGCCCGGCTGCTCGCCCAGGCAGGCCGGCAGCAGGAGGAAGCGGCCGTCTGTGGAGACACGGGGGCACGCGGTGGGCATGGCAAGGCAGAGCTCGGCTGGGAGGCACCGGGTGTGGGTGGTGGGGCAGAGCCCCAACTCAGAGGTCCCGGCACACCCCACGTGTGTCCTGCCCATGTCACAGCCCTGCTCCTCCGATCCCCAGGGATGCCCCTGGAAATGCAGAGCTCAGATACACCTGCAGCAATCTGCATGGCCACAGAGCAACCACCCCGAGGCCTCAGCCTCCCCTGACCACCCTCTGCTGCAGACTGTCCCTTGACACAAAGAGAAAGACACACTCACATTCGAGGCTGCCCACAAAGAAGTAGAGCCAGGAGAGGAGGACGGCCAGGGTCACCGTGGCGAGCAGCAGCTTCAGCTTCATGCGCCAGGAGCGCAACATGGTGTGTCAGCGGGACGCAGGTGGCAAGGATCAGGTGGGCAGCCCAAGCCCGGCTGGCCCCTGCATCCTAGAGCCTGCGAGGGGCAGGGGAGCAGAGAGGGGTGTCACCTTGTCATCCTCCAGCAGGACATCTCCCATCCCCTGCTCCCTCCAGGACACTGCCTGGGCAAGACAGACACCCTTCACCTCTCCAGCAACAGCCTCTCCCAGCCGGCACCCTCCCACCCCATGTTGGGGCATGTGGACCCCCGGGGGCTCATCCTGCCACCCTGCCATGGCTGCAACAGCCCTTCGGGGTGGGGACCCTCAAACACAGGACGAGGGAAGGTGTCCTTCAAGCCATTTCACTCCAGCTCTGTTCCTTGCCCCTTGTCACCCCAAAGGCAGAGGGGGGGGAGGAAGCGCTCCCAGGGGAGGAGAGGCTGTGCTAGGAGGTGCCCCCCGAGCTGGGTGGCTGGTCACGGGGTGGTTAATGGCGCCTGCCCCCGCCGCCTCCGCAGGCCGAAGGGCCGAGACTGCTCTGAGACACGGCCTCAAGGACGCAGCCGCATGGGAGCACAGCCCACGGGTGGCCAGGTGTGGAGCCCCGCTGAGCACGCCGGCTCCTTCCCAGCCCTCCTGCTGGCGGCTTGGCGGGGGTGGCTCCTGTAGCCAGCTCTGCCGCGGGCCACACACCTCCCCGCGCCTCGCAGCCACCTGCCCCGATGCAGTTTGGTGGGAAAATCCCCAACGCTTGGGTGGAACTCACTTCCCGGCACTGCTGGCTTAAGGGGGCACGTGGGGGGATCCCTCCTGACCCTGCCATGCAGAGCCCCATGCTCGCCACCTTGCTCCGGTGCCCAGGCCCAGCATGGGGACAAAAAGCCCATCTATCTCGAGAGCCCTGCCCTGAGATCCCAAAGAGCCGGGTGCCCTGGGTAGACAAAAACCCCACCAAGCAGAGCAGGCTGGCCTCGCTCCGTACCCCTGCCTGCCTGCCTGCTGCAGCTCGAGACTGAGCCTCTGCCCTCAGCGCAACATCTGGAGGTTCAACAAAAGCCGCGGTAGGGATGAATGGGCCGGATTAGGATCTGCTCCCCCCTGCACAAACCCTCCAGAGCCCATTGATGTGCAGATGCCCATGGGGCCGCCAGCGTTTGGGGGCTGAAATGGGCAGCCCCGAAGGAGGACAACCCCTCTGAGCAGCCCCTGGGGTTGGGGTGCAAACGCCTGCCTGCTGCTGCAGGAATTGCCTGCCGAGGGTGGATGGCAAACTCTCCAGGAGCAAGGGACAAGCAGCAACAAGCTCAGATGCTGCGAGGGCTGGGGGAAGGCCAGCCCGAGGGAGCGCGGCCACCCTAACCCACTGGGGGATGCAGCTGAGCCCCCATGGCAGCAGGCACCGCACCTGAGGGCTGCACCCCTTTTCCTGGCACTGCAGTCCCCTGCAAGCGGGGCCTGGCACTGCCCTGATTTTCTGTTCTACAGAGCAGCCAAGTGCCAGTATGACAGGGAAGAGGGAGATGACCCATGGAGGACACCAGGCCCAGGCGTCCCTTCTCCCTGCCGCGGCCGTGAGCTTTGCTGGACCTGACGAGGTCTCTGCACGCTGGTGCAGCCTGTCTCCCATCCCACAAGCCGATCCCCACCTCTCCTGCCTGACCTGGGCATCCCCCAAACTCTGGGTTGAGCTCAAGCTGGGGGCAGTGAGGCAAGATGAGGGAGGTCAGCTGGGACGGAGCAGTCTGTGAAGGTGAGGGACAGGAAAGGGACTTTAGCACAAACGAAGGAGAGAAAAGTTTATGGCACACGGCAGCACCCCTCCTGCTCCCACTTGCCCCTGTGGCCCCTCTGGGGGGGGCCTTGCTGCAGGGAATAGCACTTTGTCCCCAGCACCCTACCAGGACGACAATTTCAGGGGTCAGAATGGGACCAGCAGCAGGCCAGTTGCCCAAGACCCTCCCAGAGACACCCAAAGACTTCATCCACACCCCCCGTAGCACTGCCAACCCTCCCACCACCCCTTCTCCTCCTTCCCAGCCGGCTGGCAGCCCACTGCTGCTGCTCCCTCCCGGGTCTGCCGTTCCCCGTCCTCCCTTTACTCCTCCCTTTCAGATCTGACACTTCCCCCCCTCCTCCCCGCTCTCAAACCCAAGCTCCCCCCGCACGCCCTGCGCTGGCCCCCCTTTCGGAGGAAGAAAGAACGAACAAAACAAGAGATTAAATTCGCTTTCTACTCAAGAGCCCCCAGCGCCGGGGGCACGGAGTTGCCCAAAGTAAGTCGGGAGGATTCCCACCTCCCTCCAGCCCCTTCCTGCTCCCAGGCCTCAGATATCCCTCCTGTGCTGAGATAAGGGAAACATCGGGATTATTTACCCCCTACCCAGCACCTGCCTCCTCCTTTCCTGGGGCAGGTGCCAGAGGCTTTGTCCACACAGAGAGATCCCTGCAGGGGGCTTTGGAAGGCATCAGAGCTCACCCTGTCTGCCCTTGGCTGGCAGAAAGGGGCTGCATGGCCAGCCTGGGGTACGGCACAGGTGGGGTGCAGTTCTCGCTACCCAGAGAGAAAAGATATCAACTGCCATATGAGCACTAGCCCCTCACCTGCACAGGGTGCAAACGCCACCGTAGGTTTGAAAATGAAATAAGAGCTGCTGCCCCGATCGCCCAGGCTTGCTTCAGCCCCACCAGCCCAAGAGCACAGGGCTCCCCAGAGAGTGCGGCGTCCCCCAGACCTACCCAGCTCACCGGGAGGGAGCAGGATGGCAGCAGGAAGAGCGGGAGGCTGGGGCTGGGAATGCTAACTATGCAGAGACAGGCTTTACCTGCAGCTCCCCTAGGGCCGGGGAAAGGCGGCCGGCCACTGCCCGGAGCCCGAGCAGACGAGGAGCCCCCGACCCTCCTTGCCTGCCTTGGCGGGACCTGCTGGGAGATGCCTGGAGAAGGCAGGGTGTAGTGGGAGGACGCCTCCGCCGGCAGCAGGCTGAGGGATTAGGATGCAAACTGCCTGCATAGCAATTTAGATGAAACGTAAATTGCCCCCCACCCCATAACCCGAGGGCGAGCTGCGGCAGCGAGCCCCAGCCTGTCTGGCAAAGGCAGAGCAGCGCCTGCAAAGGCAGCCCCCGGGCCCCAGGGCAGGGGCAGGCTGCGTCCCCACCCAGGCAGCACTGCAGTCACTGCCCTGGGACACGCATTTACCTCCCCCTCAGGCAGCTTTTCCTTGCCCTTGCAGAGCCCTAGTCGTTCCCCAACACTGTCCTTCTGCCCAGGCCAGCCCCGGCAGGAGAGGGAACCCCCCAGCTGCCCCACCGCTGAGCACAACCCCTCGCTTTGCTCCTGTGCCCGGCCCAGGGGCACAAGTTGCTCAGTCCCCAGGACTGTCCTGTCCCTGGGTATCCATCATGCCACAAGTGCTCCAACTGTGGCACAGGAGGCAGCAGCTACGCAGGGCTTACCCACGCTCCTGGGAGAAGCCCAGACCTCGGGCAGCCTCCTGCCAACAGCACTGCTCCGGGGGAGGAAACCCTCTCCCGCTCCGGCTGACCACCGCCGCCTCTCCGCACACTTTTCCTGGCCTCCCTCTCTCGCTCGCGAGGGCCCAGCGCCAGGCCCTCGCCAGCTGGGGCAGGAGCAGGTAGGCTTCTGGGGAGCACAGGCGAGGCGGAGGCGTTTTAGGATGTTTATGGTGGTGGGGAGGAGATGGCAAGCAGGAAGGCAGCTACACAGCCTCTCCTCCCCCGTGAAACGTTAAAGGCACAGCAAGTGGAGGGCAAGGCTGGGAGCAGCTCCCAGGCACGGGGCACAGCGGGTAGCAGCACACAGGCACCATGGCTCTGTCCGTCCCCACAGCCATGGTGCTCGGCCTCTCTGCCCTCCCTCCTCAGTCTCCTTGCCAGCGCCAGACAAGCGCAGCCAGCAGTAAGATGAGAGGTTTCCCAATACTGCTGGTTTCCAACCCCAGCGCGAGGGTGCGGGGCAGAAGTGCTGTTCACAGCAGGTTATCCTCCCTCCCCCACATTCTCCCCAGGAGTAGGGCGGCTCCTGCTTTGGCAGGGATCGGGGACATGGCAAACAGGCCAGAAAGAGGCACCCCGGTCCCCTCTCTAAGAAAGGCTGATAGCAGACACCGGGGAAGGGGCCGGCAGGACACTGGTCTCGCCTCAAGCCTGGACACCCTGGCCTCCAGCGACGACAGGGCGATAGCCAGGGGACTGGGAGGGTCAAGCCAGCAGAGCCAGCAGCTGCGCAAACACTGAGTGCTTGCTCACACCAACCCCCAAGGCATGGGCAGGAGCCCAAGGCTGGCTGCCTGCCGGCCACCCCTCTGTGCTCCCAGGACAGTGCACCCACCTTGCTTGCCCCACGCTCCCCAACCCAAGCTGCCCGTGTGCTGGCACCCCGCTCCTCCAAGATCACCTTTGCTCTCTCCCAGGCTCAGTGATTATCAGGTGAGCAGTTAATGTTTAGGGAGAGCTGGCAGTGGGGGCTTTCCCATCACGTCAGCATGTTTCCCCCAGCCCCATAAGCAAGTTTCCCACACCCAGCACCAAGGCCCAGGGCAGGGTGGGTGTATTAGCCCATTGTCTCTCCTAGAGCTAACGTGCACCCACGGAGGAAACACTGAGGCAAAGCACAGCTGTCTGCAGGTCCCAGGACAACAGCCCTGCAGGGCACAGGGAGAGCTCCAGGCATGCTGCTTCCCCGCTGTGTACCCCCAGGCACTACAAGTGAAGAGGTGGCCTGGTTGTTCCTGCTAAAGAGCTGCAGGGCAGCCGGGAGAGGGGTGACTTTGTGGTGCAGCGTTGCCTGTTGTCTTACCTATCTGTAGGCGACAGAAACTGCAAATCTCTCAGGTCTCATTTTCGGAGCTGGGAGAGCAGCAACAGTTTAGCTGACCTGCTTCGACTGCCTCAGCAGGAGCAGCTTCCCAGGCGCGCAGGAGGTGAGAAAGGGCCCGACAGCCACAGTGAGAGCTGCGCAGTGAGACTGGCAACTGAGAAAAGGCACCGCACTTCGAAGAGAGGCAACTGGGGACGCTTTCTTTTGCCTTTACGAAGAGATGGGAGGTGCCAGTTTCTTGTGCGGCAGGTCA